TTGCCATACATTATCAGTAGGCTGTTGGTCATTGAAACAGAGAAAAGGTCAAATAACAACACATGAGTGGCCGGGGAACATCCGGAAAGTGGACGCAGGTTCTTGATAGAGCCAATTACTGCAATTGATTCTGTCTCGCTTCTGTCAAACCCTGCGGCACAACTGCCTTTCCGGGCCTACCGCCATGCAAAGGCCTGCCAACTTGGCATCTGTATCATTCGCCATTCATGAGGTAAAATGATGGTCCTTTCCTAACTTTTCTTGATAAAACAACCCTCGTCCCCGCACAAGGAGTTAATGATTCCGCAATCTGTTCCAAGACAACAGACTCTCGACGGTCGCAATGACCACAGAACCAAGCGATGCGGAAACGCCCGCTGAAGTTATTACCGCTACCTCAACTGAAGCCCAATTACCTTCCCCAGCAGAAGGTCTATCAGTTCTTCCCCCAGACCACTGGACAGAAGTTGCACAGGTCAGTCGGGTGATCCTGCTCTATGTGATTTGTACTAACATTATGCATAGAATGCTCAAGATGATGTCGATTCAACACTTGGTGAAGATGCGGCGCAGTCCACAGCGTCACTAACGTCGTCAATCCTCAGATACAGAACCATACAAGGACGGACATATCACACTGAGAGTGGCAGTGCTAGCTACTGGTAGGACAAAATCTTTTTTTTCCAGTACCGATTATTTGACGAATGCTAGGGGTGCAAATGATAAGGGACACAACGAGTCTCTAGATATAATGTGAGTATTTGTTCAATTTTCCCGTCTCGGCAGGGATGAGAGCTCAAATCATAGGCACCACTTGTTCACCCTTTGTCTCGGAGACAAACTCTACCTCGCGCCTGTCGTTAACCCCAAGGTCGGTTGAGTCATATAAGGCAAGAACGCTATACTTGCTAAATGAACCTAGAAAGTGCTTGATGTAGGAACTGGCACGGGTAAATTTGTCTTTCATCCCCTCACTCTACTCAAGAGACTGACATGTCACATTTATTCAGGTATATGGGCAATGTAAAGCCTCGGGTTTGCCAATAGAGCTCTGGGCTTTGCTAATGGTCACCAGAGACTTCGCCGACAAATTTCCTCAATGCTCTGTGATCGGAACCGATATTTCGCCAATCCAACCAACCTGGGTCCCTCCCAACCTCGACTTGTTCGTCAAATCAACATATTTGGTTTCCTAATAATGTTACTGATCTGACTTCTTAGCGAGATAGAAGATTGTACGCGTGAGTGGACTTTTCCAGAAAATGAGTTTGACTACATTCACATTCGCTACTTGATTGGATGCATTACGGACTGGCATCAGCTCTTCAAAGAAGCATACCGCTGCACTAAACCTGGTGGCTTCTTTGAAACATATGAGGCTTCTCCTCATGTATACTCCGATGACAACACTCTCCCCGAGAACAGTGCAACGGCTCAGTGGGGCCCTCTCTTCATAAATGGCGGTAAAACAATTGGAAGGAGTTTTACAGTTGTCGATGAAGATCTACAGAAAAAAGCAATGGAAGAAGCAGGATTTGTTGATATTCAGGAAACAAGAATAAAGGTAGGGCTTAGCTATCCTTACAGAACCACTGGAAATAGGCTAATTTTGGTTGCCATGATAGTGCCCAACAGGTGGATGGTCATCAGATCCCAAGCTCAAAGAAATTGGACAATACTCTTTACTAGCTGTTTTGTCGGATATTGAGGGTTTCATCCTATTCATGACAACCGTTCAAGGTTAGTGTCAACTACACATACTTAAATCGGATGACACTTTTGCTAAAGTATACAAGGCTGGACCAGCGAACAGGTACAAATTTATATAGCTCATCTTCGAAGAGAACTTCGAGCTGGAAAATATCATGTGTATTACTGGCAAAAGGTCGTTTGGGGAAGGAAGCCAGAAATATGAATGATTGATGAAGCCAATGGTTTACATGGGTCATTGAGACTCGCGCTCAATGTTTTGCTCCATTCTCCTCTAAGAAAGTATCGTCTTATTGTCATTGGGCTCACGAAATCTGGCCCACTGTCTATTGGTTAGTGATTGGCGGGCTGGGGGGTTTGACGATAACGTTTCCCTGATTGTAATCAGTAGTCTAAACCAGATAATGGGTAGCAGTATCGTCGATAGCTGCGGGGAATGAATCTTTTCCATAGGCTGGACTTGCATGTGTGAATGTGCTGTTTTATTGGTCCCAGATCAAGCCAGTAGACACCGAAAACAACCCTCCAATATGGAAACATTAAATGAGCGGGGCTCCCTGGACTCATGAGACTCTGTTGAGGTTTATAATCATGTAAAGGGCCAGGCAATCAGTGGAGAATACAAATTCGGTCTCTAAAGGCAGAACTGATACAAAATTCGCACCTTGTGTGTAAAATATCGCTGCTCATGGTGGTATGCTTGGACATGGCGGGCCGTGGTGCTCCTCGATATACACAACTGAGGCCCTGTCAAATAGGTCTGAGAGTTACTTACCAATGAAACACATGGGTGCCGCGGCATCGTACTATATCCTTAGATTGAGCCAAATAGATCTGAGAATTTAATAGTATAGTAAACTTAGTTATAAAATTCAAATCATGAGGGGTTAAGATTACTACAAAAGTCTACCTCAATATGACGCGACGAAACACCGATGGATACCAGTTTCGGCCGAAAAGGGGACTGAATCGATTCGGCCGACCGCGGACGAAGTCGTGCGGCCGCAAACCCCGCTAGGTAGAACTGCAAAAATCAATCATTCTCTCTTCATACCCATATTTTCGCTGCAATAACCTTACTCAATTCCCAGAAGATTTCCTTTCAAGTAGATTTCGTGCCCCTAGTGACTTTCGCTAAGACCATACTATATCCCTATGGCTTTCTGTACGGTATTTCGTAGCTCGGACTTCACCATGGAGACCTCGCAATTGTGTAAAGAACGCGGCGCCAATTTGTAATGCACACTCTCCGTCACTACGTGTTTGCGTGGTCAATAGCTGCAAACCGTAAAAACTACCACCCGATTCATTTGGTCGGCATTTAGATTTGTCATGCCGTTTTCATGGGCCTTGGTGTTATATAACATCACCACACCACGACCGGCAACGTCATCCTTGACAGAGCGAAAGCATTCCTTCTTGCTCTAGTTGTCAACAATTTAGATAATTAACTATGGCTATCCCGAAAACATATTCCGCTTTTCGGCGTACCACGGGTGACCTTCCCCTGACCATCGAGCAATCTACCGAGACTCTGCCCGAGACGCTCGGTTCACAAGATGTTCTCATTAAAGTCCACGCCGTTTCGTTAAACTTTCGCGATGTTGGGATGTTGGTCGGACGGTATCCGTTTCCAACTGACGAGCGCGGAATCGTTGCATCGGACTGCGCCGCCGAGGTCGTCCAGATTGGATCGGATGTCAAGGACTTCAAAATAGGCGACCACGTTGCACCAAATTTCGATCTAAATAACATCACAGGATATGAGGATGGCGTACCCCTTCTTGGCTTGGGAGGGAATGCAACAGGCGTCTTGCGTGAATATGCTATTTTTGAAGCTAAGCACCTCGTGCAACTGCCGAAATACATGTCATGGGAGGAGGTAAGTTTAGAATTGGTGCAGGGTTTTAAATCACTGACACTCTTCTTTCCAAAAGGCGTCAACGCTCGCCTGTGCTGGAGTTACAGCATGGACTAGCCTCGACTCTCCAGCTTCCGTAGCACGACCGGATGCCAGCGCTCTCTTGGAAGGCACGCGTCTCTTAAGCTTTCTATCTTCATAAACCTATATGCTGACAAGCAGGGCAGGGACCGGTGGGGTCAGTATGATGGCTGTTCTTATTTGTCTGGCCGCTGGCATCAAACCGATCATCACGTCTTCTTCCGACGAAAAACTAGCGTCAATCAAGAAACTTGGCCAAGGTGTTGAGGGGATCAACTACAAGACCACGACTGACATAGTGGCCGAAGTACAGCGGCTCACTAATGGTAAAGGTGTCGATTTTGTCATCAACAATACTGGAATTGGTTCGATCCCTGAGAATATCGCATCGTTGCGCTCAAAAGCCGGGGCCATATCACTTGTTGGTTTTCTGAACGGGTTCACAGCGGACTGGAATCACAGTGTGTTGTTAAATTTGATGAGCAAGAGGGCAAAGTTGCAGTAAGTTACATTCCACTTCCTTTCTCAGCACCACATCATGGTAGACAGCACTGACTTCTGTTACTATCAGGGGCATTGGAGTTGGATCCAAAGCTGATTTCGACCGGCTCAACAAGTTTCTCGAGGAAAAGAAAATATCATTCGCTCCAATCATTGATAAGGTATTTTCTTTCAATGATTCAAAAGCTGCGTTCGATTTCCTACTCTCTGGGAAGCATGTTGGCAAGGTTGTCATCAAGATATGAGACCTAATGCTTTCATGAAGCTTGCACATCACCCTAGGAAGATCCTATGGTTAAAAATGGGTTTTTTGTTACTGTATTTAAAGTTACGTCTTCTTTGGAAATCGATCCTAGATCCATAAGTCACACAAATATATAAAACTCAATAGGATTCACATGGGTTCAATTTATTTCGGATAACGTGAACACTCCTCGAAACTTCCGTGATGACACAATCTTGGCATTTGCAATCTTCAAACCGACCCTTGGCTCAAATCCGGTCATGCTCCGCGGGATGCCCTTTTCAACTCGTGCAATATCTCAGCATCAGCCAAATCATTGATCCAATAACTGGAACTACCAACGCAGCAACTCTTAACATTGCTATTTTTATGTGAGGAGTTATGACGGCCCCAGAAGCTGCTTTAAATTTCTCTGGTTCGTTTCGTCCAGGATAATCTGTATTTGGGACAGGTTTCTGCAAGAATGGGCAAATCTCTTCCCATCCGAGTCCGTCCTCCAGGCGAATCACCAGTAGCCTCTCTGGGGGTATTACACTTTTGACAGTTTTGATGCTATAGAAGCCTTTAATTGCGTTTTAGTGCGAGAATTTGGATTGAGCCTTACTATTGTATGTAGTTTTGTCTCATGTCGGCATGTGAGTTCTTGTCCTCTGGGCTCTTGCCATTGCTGAAAACCCAGTACATCAATTGATTCAGGTAGAAGAAGCGATTAGCCCAATACTCGAATCGTTTCAAAACGGCAAGTGGGAACGTGTCGACATCCTTGATCAATTCCCCTATTGACGAATTCATTGATTGGATCCACTTGTCGGGATCTCTTTCAGTGAGGATAAACTTGACATCGGGGTCTTGGAGATACGTTTCGATCACATCAATACCTAGGTAGCTTGCAATCTCGACAATGGCCTGTAGGCAAGCAGCTACTTTAGCACAATTGGCGTTATATGCTCTCAAGCGTGACTTACATCGTAGCCAGCAAACCATTTTTTATATTCAGGTGGTCCATACTTCTTGATTCCACTAAATTTGTCATATTTGGCGAGGAGAGCGTTGATGAAGATGTTCATATGAGAAAGACCTCCGATTGATACAAGCTCAAGCATGTGGTAGGGTCGATAGCCCAGAATCTTCAGAGCCTGGTACAACCCAAGAGTTCCTGTTCTATGTCAAGTAAGAACCAGAGCTAAAGCTTTCCTGGTAATGATGGGATGTTGGCCCAAAGTCCACTTACCGGCTACAGCTCGCAACCACTAGCTTCACGCGAAGTTCAGACTTCGGCGTAGATAGATGATCGATCTCTCGAGACATTATCAATTTTGCTGTCAACTCAACATTCAGAAAATAGGTAGTGCGTGGCAACTGTTCTACATAGATGGTGGGCTTAAGGTCTCTCAATATACTCGCCAGCTCCTCTCGTTCTGAGATTACCAGGTCGCACGGGGCGGGTACGGAGGCAAGCTAATCGTTTTCTTTTCGTCCATTAGCTACTGTTGCACCAGCTAGACTAGGTTTCTGGCTGATTCCGATAGCTAGCGCTGACATCTCAAGTGTCACAAAGAACCAGAAAATATGGCCAAGGATTAATTACCTAGCTGGGTATAATGTCTACGGAATCACCACAATACAGGCCAGGACGTACAATGCGGTAGCACGGCGTCGGCCACACGAAGTGCTGATTTCACATAAGATAAAATAGAGGCAGGGACAGAACAGTTTCTCATTCGGCTAATGCTTGTGCACCGCAACGCCTTCCCCGTAGATTCAATTCAAATCTGTGGCTTTCCCTTGGCTCTCTGGCACGTGGCACGCTCCTTTGGTTTCAATCAACAACCGCGAGCCGCTGGTATTAGAAGAGGTGTTGAAGGTATTTTGGGAATGACTACTCTGTGCATTCTCATTTTTCTTTCTCATAGAACACGGATTTCGAAGTAACAATAACATATTTGAACCTTCTACCATGCCCTAATTTTACGGAGTTGGTAATTACTGGGGCTCCTCGAAACAAGGCCTGACTGTGGCGGTTGTTCTAGCCGATTCCAATTCATCTCAAATTAAGAATACTCCACTTCCACTTTGGCATCGCAAACTTCCTCAGAGCTGTCCCAGTCATGTATATGGAGCCTAGTAGTGATGTCGGATGCGAACTACCATTCTGTTGGGTACTGATTTGGAAAAGAAAAGAGAAGAAAAGAAAAAATAGAGAAACGATCGTTGTGAGACCTGTTGCAAGACTTATGCTTCATCCTTATCATCGCAGTCCTTCTTTCCCTGCATGAAAGCCCTCGATGCATGTGATTGGCTACTAACAAGTCGTGACCACTCAATTGCAACTAGGTCATGTGTCAACGGCATCTGAAGTCAGGCGAGGCTGCGCAGCTTATCTACCTAATTCTAATTCAACAAGTTGCCGCTCCTGCACCACTGATCGGAACTGCTCGCTACTTGCTATTGGAAAAATACTTTATGTTTGAGGATTTCCTTGAAAAACAATGGCAGACAATAGCTTAGATGCCAAGCAACATGAGGCTCTACCGCCCTTGGCATCTCTGCTAGCATCGGGCTTTATCCTTGATTCAAGACCTAGAGAACAACAGCTGGATCCAACCCAACCTCAAATCCGAATACTACGGTTACTACGAGGCTTTTGGACAGATCCTATCCGTTGTAACACTTTTGTTGCCTATCTCAGAGATAATCCGGTGTACACTGCACTTTCATACGCGTGGGGCAATGAGCCTCCTCTCCGGGAGATTATGCTAAACGGCGTTCAATTCTTCGTCACTCCTAACCTCTTTTCTGCTCTGCGGCGTTTACGCAAACCCGATGTTGAAAGAGATTTGTGGATTGATGCAATCTGTATTAACCAGGAGGACAATGCTGAGAAATCCCACCAAGTACAATTGATGGGGACGATATTCTCGATGGCAACGGACGGTATTATGTGGCTCGGAGACTATATTGAACCAAGCCTTGCATCAGATCCGAAACTATCGCCGCTCGTCACATATGCTGAAAGGGGGAAAATTTCTTGGATCTATGCAGCTCATGATTTTGCTTGCATCAGCCGCCTAGCCAATAACGCACATTTGGAAGCGCATGATACTGGTACCGAGACATCATATCGTTCAGAAACACCAGACAGGGCATCATCATTGGAGTCTATAATGACGTTATCCTGGTGGGAGAGGGCCTGGACCGTGCAAGAAGTCGTTCTAGTCCCGAGCGTCACCTTTCAATGCGGTAGTTTCTCGATTGGGCTAGAAGCTGTTGAGAAGGCGAAAAACAACTACATGAGACACACAACTTACACTCGCTGCTGCAAGACAGATTCGCGGAGACAGTATGGCCTCAATATGATGTCTACGCAAATTAACATGATTATGATGATGCGGAACTATCGGAGCGAGGTTTATGACTTCGTCGATGCTCTAGACGTAGTCCGCAGACGACATGCATCTGATAAAAGAGATAAAGTGTATTCCCTCTTTGGGCTCTATCCAACAGGCTTAACTCCTTTATCAGTCGACTACTCTTTGACTGAAACAGAGGTGTGTAGGAAAACTTTGTTAGAGCTCATTCAAAATTCAGGCGACCTCCTTCCCTTTCTGAGAGGTATTGAAACAGATCGAAACCCGATATTGCCTTCTTGGGTGCCGGACTGGTGCAACACATCGAAAACATATGAGTCCATCACACATGACCTTTCACATTACCGTCATCACAGTGCAGCCAACAGTCGGCGTGCTGCCATCGTTGAGATATCATGGAGAACAATATCGCTCCTTGGCCATTTCGTGGATTATATAGCACGCATTACTAGAAATAACTTTGAGGAAGATGCCTTAGACGAGTTGTCTGTTCCATGGAGAAGTTCTCCGGCGTACCCCTGGGGTGGGAGTTATTCGGATGCTTTCCAGAAAGTCGCTGATTCATGTTGGGGCAACAACAATGGCGCATATGTTTACTTTGTCACGGAAAGAGGACTGCTCGGTGCTGCTTTACATGACGTGAGGATTAGGGACCCAGTGTATCTTTTATTTGGTGGGAATGTGCCATTTGTTTTACGGCCATCGTCTGCAGACATACCTTACCCAGCCCACACTTACGTATCGCACTCATATATTCAAGGAATAATGCAAGGAGAGGCAATGAATGATGATAGCGAAGGTCAATGGGTTTTCTTGGTATAACTACCCTCTCAAAATGCGACAAGTCATGGTTTGTCTTCCGAGTCATTTGCTTTCATTTGCTTTCTGCTTATGGGCTTGTTGCTTAAAGGTAACTCTAGGATGAAACTTGGAACGAAGTGACGAGCTGCGATGAGTTCTTTTGTGTAGGCGGCTTGTAGTTGTTTTGTTGCTGTCTGTTGGCATTCGGCGCATTTTGCGATTTCATTATATGGACAGGTGAATTGCCGCAGTCGTCCCCAATCAGGAATCGAGTGGCCTGATCGACAGTTATGGCTAGCTGCTGCGGCTGAGATCTTCTGGTGTTTTGGTCTGTTCTTGGTGGTTGGAGGAGCGAGGAACGGGCCTTGGCACGGTTGCTGCGCCGTTTTTCGTGACAACCAACGATTGGCTCTTAAACGCCATTTTGAGGCTGTACCGCCCGGGCTAGTCCGCATTGGGGGGAGGCCTCTTCCCTCGCACTTGATACGATGGTTGGGCCGGGTAGCTAACGTTATCTATATCTAGAAGCGACTCGTCCCAACAGGATGACGGGATTTGATTTTCTGTCTGCCTGTCTGACTGACTGACTGACACACTTTTCCCGCATCTTCATCCAACGTTCAAGAATACCAGTTCAAGTTCAAGATGTCTCAGCAGCCATACTACGGCGCGCCACCACCGCAAGGCGGCCCACCTGGCGGACAATATCCCGGTTACGGCGCGCCCCCGGGACAGCCAGGAGCCCCGCAGTATTATCAGCAGCCCCCGGCGGGCTCACCAGCTCCAGCTCCGGGACAGCCTCCGTATCAGCAACCCCCATACCCGGGCTACGGCGCTCCGCCTGGGCAGCAGCCACCACCCCCCGGCCAGTACCAGGGCTATCAGTATCCAGGAGGCGCACCTCCTCCTGGGCAATACTCTTCGCCCGCACCGGGCCAGTATCCTAACCAGCAATACCCTCCGCCTCAGCCCGGCGCCTATGGCCAAGCTCCGCCTGCGCCATATGGCCAGCAGCCATACCCACAACAGGGCCCGCCCATTCCCGGTGGCACTCCGGGAGCTCCTCCATATCAGCAGCAGCAAGGTTACCCTCCGCCGCAAGCTGGAGGCCCAGTAAGTGCAAGCACTCCCTGATTGGAGTCTATGATCTTGCTAATACAAGTAACGTAGCCTCCTAACCAACAATGGGGGCAGCCACCGCCAGGTGCGTACAATGCGCCGCCCACCCCAGCATCGCTGGGCTATGACCCTGCCCAGAAGGCCTGGGTTGGTCATGTGGACACATCCTCTGATGTCGAGGCTGTGCGCAAGGCCATGAAGGGCATGGGCTGCGACGAGAAAGCGCTCATTCGCGTCTTCACCTCGCCCAAGTATGCCAATCCGTGGGCCATGGCCCAACTTGTGCACGACTACAACTCGCGCTTCATCCGCGACCTTGCCAAGGACATCGAGAGTGAGACGCGCGGCGACCTGGAGACAGTGCTGCTGGCGCTCATCCGTGGCCCGCTGGAGAACGATGCCCGGACACTGCACAAGGCGCTCGACCGGGCAGGAACGGACGAGGACGCCCTGATGGACGTGCTGCTCTGTCGGTCGAACGCCGACGTGCGCGCCATCGCGGCCGAGTACAAGCGCATCAAGAACCGTGACTTGTTGACCGAGATTCGCGAGGATGTGAACGATGATCTCTTCCGCCTCTACAGCATGGTGCTCGCGGCGCACAAGGCCGAGGACGCCGCGCCGGTCATTGCCACCGAGATCGACCACAAGGTGACGGAGCTGCAGCGGGCGACGGAGGGCACAATTGGCGCCAATGCCGTGGCGACTGCCCAGATCTTCACAAGCAGCAACGCGGCGCAGATCCATGCCATGTCCGAGGCATACCAGCGCAAGTACCACCGCTCGATGGAGGATGTGATCGAGAAGGAATTCAGGGGCGATATGGAAGACGCGTTGCTCAGAATGTATGGACATGCGATGGATCGTGCGAAGATGGACGCTCAGAGGCTGAGAGATCCGCTCTACAAGACGGTGAGGAAAGACCGCCTGTTCATCAACCGTGTCGTGAGCCTGTACTGGGACCAGAACCGCTTCGAGGCAGCCAAGGCCGCCTACAAGAAGAGATATGGTGTCAGCTTCGCTAAGGATGTCAAGGACATCCTGAGCGGTGACTATGAGGATGCCATTCTAGCTTTGGCGAGGGAGAAGAAGTAGAAGACGGCATCGTGGGCGTGGTCGGGTAATGAGCGTGTACGATCTTATGGTCAAATAGTCGACAAATGATAGTTATGAACTAGATCCGCGCTCCAAAATCGACGGCAAAGTTGTCTGAAAACTGCATGGCGATATCGTTCCAATTCTGCTGCGCAAACCATTCGTCGTCCAGATTCGGTGGTCCACTTGGTGTCAGAGCCACTGGGTTGAACGTCTCATTCAATGCGGCCCAAGAGGAGCTGCTTTCATTGCGTGGCGTATTCGCAAAGGCATCCCCCCGGCGGTGGTTAACGTCTATCACGAGAATCTGGTCGATATAGTCATCGACAGTGCGACGACCTTTGTGGGAGTTTTGCTGGCGGTACTGCGTAATTGTGTCTGAAAAGGTGCCCAATATCTCTTCGTACAGTCTTGACTGGGGGCTTGCAACGCCGATTTTGCTCAAAACCTCTCGAATTGCGATGATGGATTCCTGTGTATTGGGTCCCATCTCCCCAGCAAAGGATGAAAATCCAAGGATTAGACCCGCCCCAAAGGTCCACGTCCTACATGGCATTAGTGATATTCGACATTAAAGGTGTGTGAATAGCCTTACGTGAAGAGACAGAGATTACCAACTGGAAATTCCGACACGGTAAAAGCTGCAGTGATCTTTTGGCATAGTTCACCCACATACGCAGCCGATCTCATGCAGACATGTGCTAGCTCAGCTGCTTTCGGATCAGCCACCTCAATAAGTGTACTTCCTCGACCATTATCGACCCTGGAACGGAGTTTCGTCATGAGATACCGGATCAGAAAGGGTCTTGTCACGAGAATCACTGAAAAGTAATAAACGCTAGAGACATGAACCTTGCCGAGGAAGACTTGCCGCTCCGTAGAGGTCAATGACGTAGCATCGTTGCATGAAAATTGGCGGAGCGCATAGGGGAGGTTGCGACTCCATACGCGCAAGTTTTCGAGGAGACCTTCTGCTGTGGTCACATCGATCATGGTATTCCGACTTAACACGCGACATACATCATCCAATACCACTGCTCCTTTCAAGATGGCATTGAATGCCGGTTGATTCGGGTCAAAAGGTAACGCGTTGATGTCGTGTCGAGTTGCTCGAGGAACAGTGATTGGCCGTGCCAAAAGAGAACTTGTGAGGACATCAAGTATGCACAAGCTGTGCCATATTCGCAGCCTATGGCCTTGTCAGTGTCTAGAGTAGGGAACATTTGTCAAGTGGGAAGTGGTTCCGGCTACCTTGGATCAGGTCCATTGGGTGTGTGAAGTGTCTTCCAACTCATTGGCTGGTGCAAGCCGATTGCAATTGCAGCTTTGGAGGCAACGCCCAAGTATATGGAGGCTGCGTTTTGGCGGCCAGCACCCAGCTTGTGAAATGCCAGAAGGACAAACAGTCGTACCATGGCCAGGCTAGGGTCAGCCAACATGCCTTCGAAAGCCACTTGTCGAGCTCTTTCGAAACATTTAGCCCCGTACTGTAGGCTTTGAGGGCCGGATGCACGAGCCTGGGTGCCTATCGCTATGGCTATATCAAACGCAGCGAGGTCATGCTTGCTCAGTTCTTTCGGAGTAATAGTATTATTCTGCTCCAGAAAAGTGTCAACTTCGGACACGGTAAATACGTTCAATAGGCCGCTGGTCTGTCCCTTGTCAGCTTGGAAGCTCCGAATGGAGCGTCTGGCGTGCCTACAGCTTCAAAATATGACTGCAACATCAAACGTTTCTCCTCCAGCGACAATTCAACATCATCGGGTTGAGCTTCGCCAAAATCCGTTTCTACGAAGATATTCTGGCCTTCCCCATCCGTGAACGCTGTAGGTCCGACATGAGGTTTCAGGGCTTGTCGCAAGAAATGCAAGAATGACAACGATGCAGAATCTCCGATGTAGACTTAAGATAAAAGTGGTCAGCAATATCTTTCGGAAACATTATGCTAGATGAATGCCCACCATTGTCACCATTTGTCCCAGGAAGGAATCTGTCTCTTGGTGAGTCGTGAGTGTGGCACGTCGTGTCTGGTGCAATAGGTATGGATATTGGCGGTGCGTGCTGAAGAGATTGAGCCGCTCCGTATGCTGAAGTGCTGGAGCCGTAGAGTGTGGGACTTGTTGCTACAAGGGATGGGGTCATCCCCTGGCCTGTGTCGGTGTCGTTGCGACGACTCGGCGAGCTCGGTTGACTGGGATAAGTACATGTACCTGGTCGGTCCCTCCTTATGCAAGAAGCACAGGGCAGTTGCGCATCACACCGTATCTTAGAAGCCCTGCATGAGTTGCAGGCCTTGGAGGAACGTTGCCGTTGTTCCGGCCGCACTCGGGGACGGGGCATATTGGGCAGGTTTGGGAGACTCAAGGCCGACTGGTGGCAGATTTGAGAGACTCGCTTCTCCCGTGAATTAAATGATCGCGGACCGTGAAAGGGCTAAGCAAGGGATCAACGGATTATTGGAGTTATCATCTCGGCGAGTGAGTCTCGGGAACTGCACATGAGTGTGATGATATGTGGTTCCTGGGATAAGTACGCCTCGGATCGGTCAAGGTTCTTTCGTCCTTTTCCAATCAGCACTGATAACGATCTCAGGTCAATTGCAATTGTTGTGATTGGCCAATTGGGTCGTGGAGTCTTCAAAAAGATACCACTAACACTAGACCAAGCCACCAGGTGTCTATCTTGATAAAGCCAATGCCGCCAGTCCGGAAATAGAACAAGGTCGACACAAGTGCCAAGGATACAACACCCTCATAAGGGATGCTTACATCTCGTTCTTTTCAGCCTCGATCTATTTCTTGTTCGCCGACGGCTGCCAGTTGGGGAAGCCCTGGTCTCTTGACGTGGGAATGGCTGGCTGTTGGGGTAGATGGCGCTAATAACGACCTAGCAGGGTGCACGAACCGAGCCCCTTGTTGGAATGATAAGAAATGTGGAGTTCCGAGACAATGCCTTGGCAGAAAAGATCGATGGTGATAATAGAACATTGTTCTGTTCTGAAGCATGATGATTGTATTGACTGGTCACGAGCCGAAGTAATGCATGGATGTGTATCCGCACCTGACTGGTGAAGCAGCAATGTAGCCGAAAGTTCACCTTACTTCCTCACCTTAAGACTGACTTCAAGGCTAGTTCACATCAGCTTTAATTTCTTGAGAAGTTTGACACGGCAATGGGTTGTAGGTGGGTGTGCTTTTTGTAGTCTTATCGCGTGACTCTGGGCAGAAACCTCTCAACCTTCTCAAGCAGTCCAAGTATGGATCATTCGAGTATCGGATAGACAGTGGATAACACTTTGAATAATGTTTTGGAGAATTAAGATTTTTTTTTACCTATTTGGTGCAGAAGGACTGAGTCCTGGCATGATTTTCTCACATTTTCTCGTCAGACGTATGCTCTAACAATTAAAAGAGGCACTCTCGTAATATAATTTACTTGAGTAAAGTACTGCACTTTTGTTTGACTCATTACAGTCCACGGCGTGTTTCTCACCCTTCATGTTTCCGAAACGCCGCCCACAAAGCACCGGTCCCAGGACCAAAATACGATCGCAACTTATCGATCTCTTCTGCGAACTCGGGGGTTTCGGTAGCGTCTTCATGAAGCTATGAAAATATCAGCACGACGGCAAAGGCTCTTTAGAGTGAGTGAATACAAACCTCTCTGCTTTCCCAGCCTAGGAAGTATAGACCTAATCTCTGGTCTGCCGGGAGCACGGTTTTCTCCGGTTTATAACACGACACTCCAGAAACGTCATTTGTGTTGATGGCATACGCCCAGTAACCCCCAGTAAATCCTAGAAGCTTGTATGTGTCTGTGTAGGTCTTATGCATAGAGTGTTGTAGCGAAGCGTCAGACAAAGGCGCGATGTCGGTAAGTCGAATACATGCCTAGGTAGACACATCAGCAAAGGGATGTAGTCGCAAACGGTGGCGAAGTAAGCGGCAGGGTTGCTTACGAACTCGCAGACTGGTGCTTCAAAGGCCTTTTGTAAATCCGACAATCTACTATCAGCAAATTTGAAGAGCAGAGTCTTCGCATCTTTCGTCAACTCATTGAGTTCGGAAAGTATTGGGCTTCGGTCGCAATCATCTGGCCAGTCTACGAGATTTAGCTTTCTATCTTGTTGAAAGAGAGATACGCATTCCTACGAATTGTCCAACATATCTCATGTCGTTTCCTTGGGAGAGAGAATGGCCTAGGAGACGATGTGTAGCTATAGTATTGTGCTCTCGCACCAGCTGCTGCGGCGCTTTGCCGAAGCTTCGTAAAAGCCTCGGCAGAAATGGTTAAAGGGACCGGGAGCGTGAACCGAATGATTTGTGATAACATTGTGTAATCGAGTTGCAGCAAACTCGATGATTGTTTGCTGCTTGGCTCGATTCTTGACATCTACGAGTTTTCTTGTAGTACGATATTTATCCCTTCGCTGCCGTTGTTGCCTAGCCCGGAGATGTACCGAGCTCCGTGGCGCTGTAAGATCCGGCGCTATTTCGAAACCTCCGTGGTACCGTGCACCGTGATTAGCAATTCGATCCGTCAGCGATCAAATCACAGGGGAGCAACAAGCCTAGGGAGAGACGTGATTACTTCAGCTGAAATGCTTTCGGTGGATTTAAATTAGAACTTGAAGGAGTATGCGTATTTGCGGCTCATAGGAGATCGAACACGTAAACTTTGTATCTTCTGCTCTTGGCACTACCGACTCGATGCGTCCCTCGTCCTCAATCATAGGCGTCCGCACCACAGCGACTAGTCCATACATGTCGCGTGCTTTCTAGAATGTCCGCCAATTTATGATGTTTCCAACCTAGACTGGATACCGCAGAGACTTGATTTGAAAGTCTGTCAAATCTGCGAACTCCTCATTCTCAACGTGTTCATGCACAATGCCATCTACAAGAGCGTCCATGTTAGCAAGTGCTTTGATTCAAGAGCGTTAGGAATCCTTACTCTGTGTATCCAGGGCATCTTGTCGGTCCCTTTGCTTATTCCAGTATACATGGATGCAACCCATAACTCCAAGAAGAATGAAACAAAAGACTAGAAACGACAACATTGTGTATTTGGCAATCTGTACGAGGAAATATTAGCAGTATATTTCAACAGCGAGTTGATTCACTCACATTGTAGTCCGGTGCATCCGACTGCCTGTATGTTTGCGGCCCAATGATGTTGCCAACGGTATATCCAAGCTGGTATGCCGCACCGAAAGCCAGTTTCTTTGTAGAACCACCAACTCCAGCGGTCATGAAGGTGATAACGAACAAAATACAGATGGGGACTAGTTCGAGTTTGTGAGAAATTTTTCAGAAATTTGTATGGGGCCACTTACATTGCATCGTCAGAATGTATCCTCCGTAACGAGCCGTGTTGTTAGCAGCCGGAATGGTGAACATCATTACAACTCCAGTGCAGGAAAGCGCCAAAGTGTACATCCCAGCAATGGTTCGATTGGTATACTTGGCTACTACCAAGGCAACAAATGTGCCAACGACAGCCGCAGCGCCCGGTGCCATACTTAAGAGGGTTGTTTGTTCAGTGGTGAAACCAAAGGCAGAGATGATCGAAGGTCCTGCCAAGGTGAGTTTAAATCACAGACACTGAAGTTAATGATGACTAACCAAATACAGTAATTCCTCCATTTGGTAGTCCAGTAGAAACGAGAATGAGGAAAATTAAGTAGAACCGAGGATCGCAAAAGGCTTCCCAGAGTTGTGACTTATTGAATCTCCAAACTTCTGTTCCGGTTCGATTGCTTCGACATCGCTCGAGAGCAATGACCTTTTCTTCCTCGTTCAACCATTTCGCATCAGTAGGTGAAGCGGCAAGGAAAAACCAAAGCAAAACGCCAAGGGCAAACGTCAACCCTCCCTCAAATATGAAGAGGGCCTGCCATCTAAACGTTTTCGCATGCCAGATTATCCAGGCAAAGAATCCGCCAAATAGATTGCCCCATCCCGAGCTAGTATACCATATAGCGACGCGCGATACTTGTTCTTCTTTGCTATACCATGACCCCAAAATATATATCACGACAGGTGCGGTACAGCTGCCACATCTGGAGTCAGTAATTTCCTTCTGAAGACAGAGAAATAGCAGGGAATTGCTGAATAACGATGTCTCGGGAGTAATTGACCAAATTGGGATCGTGTCTTTGTCTCTATGCTCGAACGATGGCTAAGAGATATTAAAATAAACTCTAGAAGATGCTTACACTTCAATGGCCCCGAGAAGAAAGCGTACAACCGCAAGTCCAGCAAAGTCATGGCATACAGCGTGCATTACCACGATGGTACCCCACATCATGACCATGACGGAGAAGAACTTGGCAAGGGGAACTCGTTGCATGAGGAATGTGACCGGTATTTCACCAGCAAGATAGCCAAAGCTGAGGAAGAGCTACGTTAGTCTCCGAAGAATAGCTCACAGACACATGAGACGCACTAAACGATTGATCCCAGCCATGAATACTGACTGGCAGTGAGATGTGTCTCTTGTTTAATGCCCATGATATTAGCGAATGATAGACTGTTTTTGTCTACAAGCATAAGAATATAGACGACAAGAACCATTGGTATGATTCGTCTATCGATCTTTTGCAAGACGCGTTTTGCCTCTGGGGAATTGGGGTCAAACTCGACATTGTGAACGGTCAGAAGATTCAGTGCTTTGTCTTTCATAGCTGCCTGAGTATCGACGGCTAGCTTTTCGGACATGGTATGGACATCGACGGTAGTGCCCTAGAACGGTAAGAATCGTTCCATGACATCTTAGGAGCTTAAATGAACAAGCTCACCTCGTCTATGTCGGGGGCAGCAGTCGAGTCTGCTGTTTCCTTCTTCGAGATCGCCATTTTTATGAGAGCGTAAAATATGAGAAGACTCAATAATTGCTCATCGGAACTCGATTAGAACAGACCGCTCGTCCTTATTAAGGTATTCTTTGGCTGTAATACGACTTGTACTTGCCACAACTAGCAAGCCCCGAGCCGGCACCTAATTTTGAGAGCTCTAGGCAGGCCGCATTATCTCGTTGGTCGTGGCTTTGATAGGGGTTGAGCGACGGCGCCAGGCTCATCACTACCCATCACTACCCCCGCACCAAATCCTAAGGCCGGAGACTTCGAAACGATAAGCAGATCTCTATAATTCTGATGTTTGCCTGCAGCAATTGCAAGCATTCCCATGCTGACCGGGGTCTCGGCCCGGTGGACGGGGCTTACTTATCTTAGTGGACCGACAGCCCCCAGAAAGTTGCGGGAACTTATCATACGCCACTTCAGCGATAGCTTTCACATTAAATTAGGACTGCTTCCATTGGATAAAACACAACATACAAGTGATGCCCATTGAGAAACATCTCTACTAGATAATAATTGAGGAGCCAAGAATGGCTGTATGTAGTTTGATAAACTAAGTTCTCCATAATTCACACGACATTGCTCCGCAAGTAGGTACTGACGAGCTCGGCAGCTAGTGCATTGCATCCGCTTTATATCTTAGAGCAGGCACAAGATCAAATTTGGAGCCTCTCAAGACCCTCAAAGTCTCGGACCGATACCTCAACGATAAGCATCAGGCTGGGAGACATCTCGTAGGTTTTGATTTCAAAGGGCAAGACGATTCAGGACCGTACTAGAGTTTCCGATACGTTGCAAGTGTCCCGAGAACCGTTCAGAGGCAAGTCTCTCACACACCGTCATGGTGACTCGGTCGGTCTAAGCCTCAATGCCATTCTTTGAACAATTCTAACGAACATAATAGAGCTGAGGTCAGCGAACATTCAACCAAGAGTAGTTGTTGGATTATTCTCCACGAGAACGCATATGATGTAACCGAATTCTTGGACTCTCATCCTGGCGGCAGAGCTATCATTCTCAAATATGCGGGAAAGGATGCGACAGATGCATTTGAACCTCTTCACTCGGAAGACACCCTAGCAAAATATATGAGGCCAGAGTGAGCAAACAATATTTCAAGCCCAATGCTTGAATTACACATTAAAATTTGTCGCAGTCAGAATCTTGGTGTTGTCATAGGGCCACCACCAGCAAATTCAATGGAGCAAGCCATGATACCGCCCTCAAAACCCGGAGAGCAGCACCAACCATTGAGAGAGAACAAAAAAATCGAACTTCGTTCCATCATCAATTTAAATGACTTCGAGATTGCTGCCTCTCAGCTGTTGGCGCCGAAAGCTTTTGCATGTAAGTAGAACAGCCACCTCAACATACTTGTGTCTGACTAGTATCGGCCAGTCTTCAAGGCTGGTGCTGACGATGAAGGATCAACCACCTGGAACCGTAAATCTTGGCATGCGATTAGATTTCGGCCACGAGTGCTCAAACCTATCAATGATGTGAGCATATCTACTTCGGTATTTGGGAATCCCTTCAGCGCTCCCTATTTTATCAGTCCTGCTGGGGGCGGAAAACTTGCCAATAGTACGGGCGAGGTCCTCATGACGAAAGCCGCGAGCAAACACGGCGTCTTACAGTGGGTGTGCAACAATGCGGGATGTACACAGAAGCAGATGGCAGACGCAAGAGGTCCCAACCAGGCCTTGTTTTGGCAAATTTATGCGATGAAAGATCTATCTGTGACTGAGCGGGAGATTAGACAGGCAGTTGCATCCGGCTATAAAGGATTTGCCTTGACTGTGGATGCAATACAAGTCGGGAAGCGTGAACGAGATATGCGGCTCAATATTGCAGAAGATGCGGTTAGTCGACCCCAATTCTTGACAAATGAATGTACAGCCAAATTTACATTTTGAAGGATATACCGGTGGAAGAGGATGATGAGACGAGTGGACTCACTGGCGGCATCTCAGTGACGCGACCGTGAGTCGCTTTCCTCAAAAATGGCATAGCTTATTGCTAATCAAGTTTGCTTCATAATTAGTGCTGTTTTCTCTGACTTCGATTGGCCTACAGCTATTAAGTGGCTCAAGACGATCACTGACTTGCCGATAGCGATCAAAGGAGTTCAATGTTGGGAGGATGCAGCCCTTTGCATGCATTATGGTGTGCACCCTTGGCTTTCCAACCATGGAGGTAGGCAGCTTGAAGGAGCACCATCAGCGGCTGAAACCTTAGTCGAGATTCGCCAGTACTGCCCTGAAGTCTTCGAAAAGTGTGAAGTCGTGGTAGATGGAGGCATTACTCGAGGGACGGATGTTGTTAAAGCACTGGCTCTTGGTGCGAAAGCCGTGGGGCTTGGCCGCCCATTTCTCTTTTCTCTGGTGTTCGGGGAGCCGGGAGTGTCTCGCGCCCTGCACATTTTGAGGCAGGAAGTAGAGACTGCAATGGCGCTTTTGGGAGTCTCATCTCTAGATCATTTGAATCCCTCATACGTAAGGCTGCAGTCTAGTAGACGCCTCAACTCTTTACTAATTCATGTTTAGGTTGATGGATCGGGGTTATCTCACGCTGCTGCTGTTGCACGAGCACATTTGTAGAAAACGGCCTTACGGTGATTAGAGATGCTTACGACGGAAAAGGACAATCACAACAGCCGCGCTCGTGGTTCATGATTTATACTTATGTATACGTTGCAGATAGAGGTCGTAGCTACAGATAGCCGGATTTGGTAATTGGGTTGCCATTATGAGCTATTATAATGTCTGACTTTGGAACTAAAGTCATTTGCTACCAGACTGAACGTCAGATATAAGATCAACTTCATGATGCTTCTGTCTGAGAGATATATGTGTCTCCCACAAACATGATCATAATGGTACTGTAGTAGACTCCGCGAATACGAACTATCATCTACAGAGAGGAAAGCTCCGGTAGCTTTCACTGATGGTCCCGTTCGATGTGAATAACCATTTCATTAAGTCTAATTTCACTCTGCTAAGTGGTGCTATACAATCGAAATCTGATGCAGAGAGCTCTCATTTACTTAAGTATATGTTCTATCCTAGACTGCCACAGTCGCGGCATTTGGTTGCTCTTTCTTAGCAAAGTTGTGACTATGTTCTCAATTAGTTGAAGTTCCTAATCATATCGCTTGAAACTATATAGCTCACCCAAACTGAACCTTGGTCTTTTCAAGGAAATAGTCTCCACATGTAATTGGAGGGCTGAGGCAGATTTGTGAGCTTTCAATCTTTCCAGAACTCAGATCTTGCGAGCTACTTACTACTTCTTCAATGGTCCTTGCATAACCACATTCTTCCGTCCAGTGTTGAAATATGCAATAGAGTACCGATCCGGGCTTTTGCCGATGTCCTTGGCACGAACTCGATGGAAGTTGGCCTTGAGGCGGTCATCGGACCATGCCACTACGGATAAATTAGCAATGGACAAACGTTCAGAAATCACCTGACTTACTAAGCATATCACCAATGTTGACAACTATTGGGCCGGTTTCCGCAGGAAGAGGGGTGAAGGTATCGCCGATAGCGAAGTCATTGTGACTTTCGCGTCCTGGGCAGATTTCTAGACCATCTTCTCCATCTCTTTGGAAAAGAAGCGTGAGGCATCCAATGTCAGTGTGATTGCCAGCTCGCCAAGTACCCACAGCATTTTCGGAGGCCATGTAGTGAATCATGCGCATCTGTGTAAGGTTGTCAGGAGCATGGACATCCATGGCCTTGATCAAATGGTCTTCGGGAAATCCAAGAGCGATGGATAGGCAGGCCACTAACGGCAAGGTCTTCGTTAGAAATACTGATACTAAGTGAGCCGACGAGATAGAACCTACAAACTTGCTCGGAGATGCGTTCGCATTTAGCAATGAACTTTTGTGTTGTGTCTTTGAAGCCAGGCACGTGCTCATCACTTGGCCATGCGGAGTTGCGTTGAAGCCAAAATGATTCCTTCTGGTCTGGAAGTCCTGTACTCGGGCGAATTTGTGACTAGATTATTGTCAATGACGAGCTCGGGTTCTATAATTTGGTTTGCATACCTTATACTCCCACCCATTATTCGTCCGAATATCGTGAGGAATTCTGGCCTTGATTTCCTGAGGAAGATCAAAAAACTTCCGAGAGAGCGCGAACTGGCTTTCTATCTCCTCAATGGTAATGCCATGGTCGACTAGTGTAAAGAATCCAGCCGTTTCAGCAGCCTCAACAAGCTCTTTGGTGATTTGCTCCTTTCTAGCCTCGAAGTCTATGAAATGTCAGGTCATTTCACAGTAAGGCCACTACAAAACATCTTACCCTTCAGAGAAATTGCGGGTACCGGAGGCTTGGAAGCCATCTCAATTGTTTAATGGCCACGAAAGGTAAAAGGAAACGCTAATTAGCTCAATAATACTGAAGAGTTGACCTCTACTTGTTTTAATGTGTGTTTTGAAGCTCGATCTGCTCCGTACATGCCTCGTAAATATAAATTTTAGCATCTAAATTTCGCTTCGTATTCCCGACGTCAAAAGTTGAACGTACTGTTTGAAGGCATCGGATCGCCACCAGAACCGACCACTCCTTGACGACGGCATTCACTTACCTGCCATTAATTACCTGTCAGCCTACAAGATCCGAATCTCTAATACTCAAAAAAGTTAGGGTGGTAGCGTCAAGGTGCCCGGCCCGAAGGGATCCACCTTTACGGCCCGAGATCCAAGTATGTTATCTTTCAAAATCAATGTACAAACGATCACGATTTCCTCAATATCAACCTACAAGATCAGAGATAGATAGGAAGTGATCGCTGTCTTATCCCCGAGACTATGCAATTCAGTAAACAATTACATGCTCTCGCTGTATATTTAATCCTATAATAAGAATATGCTCCACACAACATGGATAGTAACTAAATAAGTCACATACTGTTTCCGATCGTAAGTGGCCTGGATAACGTCAGAAATTACATTCTTACTAAATAATCTAGACCCTAAATAATTCGTCACAGAGAATTCTTGGCCATTTGGAGTGAGACCCAAAAGGGAAAGCTACTTGTTGCCTAGCCAGACCTATCGCCGCCCTCAGCTCCACTCGAGCCTAGTGATATGGAAGGGCCATTGATCATAGATCTACATTACCTTTAGAGGATTAGCCGAATGTCAACTCATTAGTCCAAGGTGGCTAACTTGTCCCACGTTTCACTGCCCAGGCAGCTTGTCGTAGAAGAGCTACGTCGTGTGATTTTAATCCAGTGAGCCCAAGACCCTCTACGCGTCCGACGTTCCACTTCCCAAGCAACTTTTCATTGCGCCAAGCATATATGTTGACATCAGCTGCACTGGTCGCTCCTTGGTTCACTTTAGCCCGGGGTATCTCGTCCGGAGGCATTTCCACGGTATAGAGGCGTGGCTCTTCCTCAGAATTACACCTGATTAAGTCTTTTGTTGTGATATTTCTAGGATAAAGATTTCGCCAGTTCCTTCGTAGTCATATGACAATTGGAGGTGGGTTGCTGGATAGAGTGCATTTGTCTCGCGCGCGGAAGGTATGGATATAGAGAGACGGAGTGGGGAGGTAGCAGATGCGATCGATGGTATAAGTGGGGAACGGAAGGCGGAATGTGGTTCGCCAACTGGTTGGGATGGTAACGTGGGAGGTGTGAAAGAATGGACGGAGAGACTGAACTTCGACATGCTGAATCCGTACTGAATATGATGATGTTATCAGAGGATGCTGATGGGATCTACTTATTCTGGTCCATTGCATGTAAGGACTCCGGAGCAGTTTGATGCGGGGTAGACCTTCACGTGGGGGCCATCTAGATTCTAGAAGGTCATGCTGGTCAGCGTGTGATAAAGTTTGTTACTTGTGGAAAATTCTGTCTACTAAATAGGGTATAAACTCTACAGAATCACCCGTTATTGCCCCTTAGCTCAGGCAGGTCAAATTTTGAAGTGTAAATTCTCAGTTGCTTGGTCGGTTTCAATTAGCGTCTGTTGAAAGCTCTCTTCGACATTCAACACTTATGTAGAACCTGCACAACAGATGAGTTTGCCTTCACACCCTGAGTATCAATTGCCTCCACTCTAACGAATGACATGGTCCCAGACATAACCGCCTTCGTCTCAAATCCGTCTCTGGGTTTCTCGTCGAGGAACTCAAGATTCGTGCTGGTGGTGCCTCCGTAGACCTTCCATTGCATATTATCGGTAGCCCCCATCCAACTCATATAGATGGCTGTGTTATTATTATGGTCATTACATGCGATTACATCGGGTGGGCTTTTTGGACGGCCAGTCCACGGCGAACGGTAAGCCCTGTAAGACATAATGTTACCCTGCCCTTGACCGAATTTGGCGGTCATTACGCAAGTGCCGTTTGAGCTATATTCTTTCATTGTAGGAGCTGCACCGTAACCCATAACAGCATGCCCGGTGTCCGAAAGGAGTTGGAGATTGCCTTGGGAACGGGCGAAAATTGGATCCAGGGAATCTACAAAACTTTCTCTCAATGTTGCCGTCATTGCCTCTGCGTCTAGAGTTAAAATGATTCCCGTAGTTTGATTGACTCCTACATGCTCAGCATTGTTGTCATTGTTGAAGAAACTGATTGTTAACAAAGATCCAAATTCCTGCCTGATGCGAGCATCATGTTGATAGCAGAAGGATATCCCAGCTCCTAGACTGAAATCGCCTCCATCGCGGCCCTTTGCCAGTATAAGTTAAGTGTGCAATATCAAAGATGATAACAATTGGTCTCACATACCTGTAAGGCCCACTCAACAGACCCATTTGGGGAGATTTTGAATATGGAGCAGTATGTTCTAGATGAGATGAGGTAAGAACCATCTTCAAATTTATCAACAGAGTTGATGTGGAAGTATCCCCATGGGTAAGTTTGATTTGTTCCCAGGTCCTCCAATGGATAGAGTTGAATAACGTTCTCTAGTGGTACTTGATCGATGTAGTCCAATGAGCTCCACCGGAAGAGGACTTCATTTGTGTGGACATCGATTTCGTAGAACAAAGAATCAGCAATCCATCCGTCACTTGGCCCTCCTATTGCACTCAAATCAAACTGCGTTACATTAATAACTGTAACGAGGATAGTGTTATCAGTTGTGATCTTGGACTCGTGCATATCAATGTAAGACCAGACATCGGACGAATCCATGATGCCTTGATATCCCTCGTCTGCTGCTGTCAAGGAAATGTTGTAGATGTTCTCATATGATTCATTTAAAATCTCGATAATTCCATAACCAAAACCCCAGGGTTCGGGGAATGATATTCCATTGAAGTATATCAAAACGTTTTGCCCGTCCAATACTTGAGGTTGGAAGGCGCTGTAATCACCCCTGGCACTCTGCCAGATGAGTTCATTATTGTCATCCATGATAAAAAGACTATAATTGTGTGCGTAGTCTCCATTTTGGTCAAAAAAGAGATAACCAGGACTTGTCGGACCTGTCTTAGTAACTTGGAGCTGAGGAGGTTGGGCAGAGCTAGATTTGAAAGTCTGCCACGGCCAGTTTGTTGAATTTGAGTTCTGGGCTCGTGTAAATGTAATGTGCAAGAGAATAGCAAAGCCACATGTGAGAGATTCGAGGAGCTTAGTCATTTTGAGTCAGATTGAAGGATACGAATTTGCAGAGAAATTGGGAGACTTCTTGTGTATTCGCACATTCGGCGGCAGCCATTTTCTTGTAGGCCTTCCAATGCTGCCGGTGTCGCTCTTCAACGCTGATCATCAATTGTTGCATCCTTGCAGCATTCTGTGGAGATGCTAGCGGACACTGTTATCTGCCGAGACCTTTGAAAAGCTTGACCAGGTTCTGAGATTTCTACAGCATCGTGAAGTGGATCCTACAAGGACTACCATGCGTATGTCAATTTTGGAATTTCTCCGATAAATGCCGAGGTCACGCTTGCCTCCGGCAACGATCCTCTTAAGATCTAGTAGGTAGAATAGACATGGCTGCTCTGATTAGGATTTGCGCCTTTCACCCAGAGTGGATTCAGAACGTAGTAATACCGTGCATGTCTCTTTGTAGAGCACAGTCTTTCCTCTGAAGTGTTTCCAGACGTAATGAGTGGGTACAAAGCTAGTCTGACACCCAGCAGCTGTGGGTCATACTCAGGTGCGTTATTTATCTGATAATCTGATAATCCACAGATCGCCATTACAGTCGGTCCAACTACTCTCGGAAGACCCATGAGTTGACGTAAAGTACCGCACAATTTACAACACATACACCCAACCATTATTCTGCGAATTTCTTTTCGCAAAGCGAGAAATCTTCTCAATTTACAAAAAGACGAAAATTCCCATAAACTTTCTCTCCAACATGTGATCAAAGCATCACATCTCAAGCAGAACAAGATCGATCTTTCTTTTATGAAAGTCGATCGACCAAGGTAATCTTAGAAGCTAAATGACTAGCCTAATAACGCAATCTAGAACAGTGTCTTCAGGGAGTTGATATTTGGGAGCCCAGTTCTTCTATCAAAGATGGGGTCGTTATTTCACGATCAACGATCGACAGAGCGCTGAAGTGACGGCTGACTTGGTGCAGAATAGTTTCTTGAGACCAATGATTCGCCTTCACTAAAGCCTTCAAGTGCAACTGCAAAGATCAGGATTCAGTGAGTGAACCTAATTCACAAGAAACGACTGAATAGGATTCGGGCCCTTCAAACTTTTCAATTATTGACATACAAATCTGGTGTAGCTTAAGTCAACTCTGAGGGAGTTTCTTCGTTATGATTGGGGCGGTGCTACAGCAGCTCTGACCTATGCGGTGCTTACTGGGAGCTCTCTTCTCTGTGGTATTAGCTGTAAGAAATTCAGTTTCTCTATGATTCTTTCTTGATAGAGGGTATTAGCTTTGAGATGAAAAAATTGACGAGAACGAATATGGCATCATTTCGTTCCATCTTCCATCTTGGCGCCTCTGCAATGGCTCCATTGGACATAGCTATATGATAGTGATGACTACCAAGCCCATAGCATTCGCGAAACAACAACTTAGCGCACCTCACTTATCTTGCCACGTCAATGGATTCAAGGACAAACAAGATAACGCAGCCCTCCGCATCTCTTACAGCCCGAGTGCTTTTCAAGTTGTCCCTACCGCAACTGCTTCAGTTGTCGGAAACTGTCATTCCTATTACTCGTGCTATATATATACGCAACCGGAGCGTTAAAGATGGGTGGAATCTACAAGCATATTGTCGATGATCTTCATGATGTCGATGTAATAATCGTAGGAGGTAGGTGATCTATGAGACCATCTTTCTTGCATTCAAAGACCTGACAAAGGATCTAGGTGGGACGGCAGGTTGTGTTGTAGCCTCGAGACTCAGCGACGCAGACCCGAGCCTTTCTATCCTAATTGTGGAAAGAGGTCCGGACGGTTGGAGAATGCCTGGCTGGTCGGCTAACGATCTAATACCTTACATGAGTAAGGTAAGATGAACACAATAATCATTTCCTTGACTAATTTGATGTGGCAGTTTGAAACCTATCACTGGCCAGGCTCACCTAGCGCTCACGGCACTGACGGACCCATTCATATCTCAGAGGGCCCATTTGGTCCTACAAAACTACAGGGCCAGTTTATCAAGGCCCCTGCCAGGGTCGGCTTTCCTGAGTCAGTCGATCTTCAGAACTTAGACTCCAACCAAGCTGTGCAACGAACCCTCCGCTTCGTCAGCTCGGACGGTATCCGGCAGGATGCTGCGCACGCCTACCTACAGCCCAGGTTCCAGAACGGCAACGATCGTAATCTCTTCGTACTTGTCGAGCACGAAGTAGTGCGTGTGATGGTTGAAGATACTCGGGTGGCTGGTATCGAGGTGCGCAGCAACCCTGTCTTTCAGAATAGCACTCAAGACCACAAGATCAAGGCCAGCAAGATGGTTGTGGTATCTGCCGGCACCCTCGGTACTTCGATGTTACTTGAGCAGTCGGGAGTGGGCGACCGGAATGTGCTCTCCCTTGCCGGAGTTAATGTCGTTGTCGAATTACCCGGTGTTGGCATGGGTCTCCAGGATCACAACACAATGCTGGTGTCGTACTACAGTAGCCTGGGCTCGGATGAGACGTACGATGACATTCTGGACGGTAAAACTATGTATCAGAAGCTATTGGAGCAGAAGTCACGTATGCTAATCTGGAACACTGCTGAAACCACGTCAAAAGTACGCCCAACTAATAAGGAGATTGAATCCCTCTTAGGATTACCAGCACTGAAGCTTTGAGAGCGCGATTTTAAACATCAAGCGAACAAGCCAGTTGCCACGATATCAACTGCTAACGGGTGAGTACCAGCTGTCATAGGTTTGGGTATAGTCTAATGAATCTAACAAGTCCAGATTTATCGCTCCAATACCGCAATCTGATTCAGGTGAGAGTTTCTAAGCACCGGCTCTTTCTCCTTTACCCTTATGCACGTGGTCATGTTCACATCTCTGGCCAGGCCCTGGATGGTGAGATCGACATGAGAACGGGCATCCTGACTGACTCGGCCGGCTTTGATCTCGCCATGGCTATGTGGTTGTACAAGAAACAGCTTGAGATCGTCCGACGATTAAATGTCTATCGTGGCGAGGTTTCTGCTTTACATCGTCCATTCGATGTCTCATCGGACGCTGTGTGCACGAAGCGGAGCGAGCCGCTACCGCCGGACGTCAAGGATATGGTATACTCAGCTGCAGATGACGCAGTGCTCAAGGAATGGGTCTTCGAGAGATTGTCTCAGAACTGGCACGCTATTGGAACTTGCAAAATGGCACCGTCGGGTAAAGAGGGAGTCGTGGATGAGGATCTAAGTGTCTACGGAGTTGATGGTCTTAAGATTGCTGATTTGAGCGTTGTTCCCGTAAACCTAAAAGCGAACCTAGCTAGCATGGCGTTCGCAATAGGGGAGAAAACAGCTGATATCTTTGCTCTAGACCTTCAGAGGCTTTAGAGATTGAAAAAGATAGCAGTGAAATTCCATTGGTATTTCAGTTCAAGCTAGACGAGAGAATACAGCCGAATAATGAAACTGCAGAAGTGAAGCAAACCTTCGTTGTCGTCTCGCCTTTTACAACGCGCTGAGTTGATATACAATTAAGAGATCCTGGATATAGCCCTTATTGGCTATCGAGTTGAGAATCCTAGGAGTTATAATAGCCGAGCATCGCCAACTTCAGATGAAAGCTTACAAAAAAGGCAGACAAGGGTTCGAGGTGAACAGATTTCAGAAAAATTACCAACCATTTCTATAGCCCAAAATGTCGCTTCATTAGTGAACACAACAAATATTATTTACATTGCCCCTAACTCCAACTACTCCTACCTACTTTTTCAGCCTTTCTGTAAGAGGATATCAGCGCATTCCTGACTCTGATTATGCCGTTACACACATATCTCTCCAGGGAAAGTGCCATAGAAGGGGATGATTGGCCCAAAAGCTAAGCGGGCTGCAGGTGGCCAACTTGCTCCGCCTCATGCAAGGCACAGCCCTCCTGTCCTTTCTTTTCTTTCCTTCACGATGAGCGCGCTTGGGGAATTATTATCTACGAGACATCAAATCCATCTTACCGAGATGGCATGCCAATATGTCAAAAGACAATATTATTCATGACTTTGAGGCGGTTGTCCTCGACCATTCAGAATCAGCATACCCGTACCGAAGTCTGGCGAAAAATGACATCCGACTTCTGAAAATTTTGCCCGGTGATGGCATCCTGATCAAGTGCTTACTCTTTCGTGTCTCGTTAGAGCAAGAGCCTCGTTACTGGGCTCTCTCATATGCGTGGGGAAACTCGAAGAGCTCTTTCAAGATCCTTCTCAACGATCAGCCCTTTGTTGTGATGGAAAACCTTTATGCAAGCTTACAGCAGTTCCAACAGATGACGCAGGGTTCTTTGAACATCGCGCATCAGTATTTGTGGATCGACGCAATATGCATCAGCCAAGAGGATACTACCGAAAAGAATATACAAGTGCCGCGGATGACCGACATCTACAGTTTAGCGGACCAGGTCATCCTCTGGGTGGGGATAAATCCGCCACTCGATGACAAGGGGATGGCGCTTCTATTTGAGCACGCCTCCGTCGTCGGAAAGTTGCTGGACACCATTCTCGAGGGCTAGGACAGCAATGAATGGATGAAATCTTACCCAATTGCTCAGGAGCTGGGATCGTCCTACTCTGCCGTTCTGTCCGCTCTAGAGAAACTTACTACTCGGGATTACTTCCGGAGGATCTGGGTAACTCAGGAAGTTCTCTTAGCACGCAGAGAACCTGTTTTGCTTGCTGGCCCGCATTCGACACGGCTAACAGATATATTTATGCTTACTATGATAATGGAACTAGACGATTCCCGATCATTAGTTTTCAACAAGAACTCAGGCATGAGCCAGCTGCTTATCGCAAGAACCCTAATCTGTTACGAGCCCCGTGCAGACGACGGCATGCGACGTATGATCCGGTTCTACGATCCTACGATGAAGGCAGCCGATGTTCTTGTGAGACTCTTGGGTATGACTTGTAGCAAACAAACGACTGTACCTCACGACCATTTCTATGGTCTATTGGGTATTGTCGGGGCCGTCCAGGGCGATGAATTGCCAGAGGAGCTTGCGCCAGACTACGACCAATCGTTTGCACAAGTGAGCCACCAGTACATGGCTTATATCATCGAAAGGACGCAATCGATTGCGATCTTTGGATGCTACAGCAATGATCTTTCTGGGGATGTCCCCTCTTGGGTATGCGATGTTCGGCACCTGCGAGGCGCCCCCTTCACAGATCGCGAGATGCCTACGACCACCCCGATCTTATCAGCAGACCGGATGAAACTTACACTCAGGGGCTCAGTCTGGAATACTGTTAATTGCCACATTGACGGCGACTGGGAGATGTTAGCAATTCTACGCAACAAGGTTGCGACGTGGAGAAATTATCCCCGTATCCTAACTAGCCGCATTACGCTCCTAGAACGAAGTATTTTCGCGCCGGCAGCTGTGCTTTCAGGACTTCCCCTTGAGACAGTCCGCCAACGTTTTATCCACGCCATCGATGACAGGGATGCGACCAGGGGAAATCTGGCCAAACTCTGGACTAAGGTCCAAGAAGGCGTAACCCATGACCAAGTCCAATTTCCGGAATTCGATAGTTCTCTACAGCTATTTCTGAACCGCTGCAGCCCACCGTGGCTCGTTCTTGACGATGGAACCATAGCACGCAGCGCCAGGAAGGATGCCATAGTGGATAAAGGGGACATGATATGCTTCTTCGACGGGGACACACAACCCGCGATCGTGCGCCGTCTTGAAGAAGTGTATGTCCTCATCGGGCATTGCACTTTCGTTGACCAGATTTGGTATTTTAAAGATTTTCTCGAAAGTCATCTTCAAAAAGAGGTGGATTAGGTGTATCTCGGGATCTGCTTGGAAGCTCCGGGGCCAGGGCCGTTTATTGCTGGCTCACGGAGATGCACGGGCCCTCGGCAGCTATCAGAGAAGTACCCACTGAAACGACTTCTGAGCATACAAACGGTGACCCGACCAGCTTAATACTGCAATTGTTCAAGATTCAGTATAACATTTCTTCAACTCGGACACTTCTTGCTCATTGATTGGTCTGGCTTCGATTCGAGATGCAGCACTCAAGATGGCGCCAATGAGTCCTTACACCTTCATTCAGTGTCCCTGCTCCGACCCCTCCACGATCTTGCAAGCCGATGCTAGCAGCCCGACGCAAGCTGAGCTAGACGATGATGATCGCACATTTGATCCTCGCGCTCCACGCTCTAACTATAGCCTATATCCCCTCGAGTATTTGTTGTACTGCGAGGACTGTCACCAGATCCGATGCCCGCGGTGCGTAGCAGAGGAGATTGTCACATACTATTGCCCAAACTGCCTCTTTGAGGTGCCGGGAAGCAACATTAAGAGCGAGGGGAACAGGTAAGCCGTCTTCTATGACTGTCAGGGCATTCCAGCACTGACGAATTCCCTCTGCAGATGCACACGTAGCTGCTTCCAATGCCCAATATGTATCGGGCCGCTCTCTGTGACAAATCTCGAGTCCGCGCCAGACCCGAAGCTCCTCGTGCCCGAAAACGCGTCGACGACGTCTGGCCCCTACGTGCTTACTTGCTCATACTGTAACTGGAGCTCAACCGAGATCGGCATCAAGTTCGACAAGCCTAATGGCATCTATAGCCAGCTGCAGAAGATTCGCAACGGCGGCAAGACGCGCCTAACCCCCAAGGAGCGGAAAGACAAGCGGAAAGATGCATCCTCTGGGTCGGCGCTGGCATCCATATCGGAGACGCCAAAGGAGGTGGTTGTTGAAGGCGACTTGGATATTGAGACACAGTTTGCCAACCTGAAAGCCTTCTATCAGTCCCAGCTTGCTCAGACCAATCCTGCGGGGCCGGGCCTTTCGGCATTGGGGGATCTAGGCTTCAGCTCCCCAGGTTCGCTTTCCAGGATCATGAGTCTATACACAGGAGGGAGCTTGGTAGACAAGAAGGCCAAGTCGCGAGCCGGAACGATGCGAGAGGCGCTCGAGGCCGATGAAGGCTTGAGGCTCGCCAATCTAGACGAACAAGGTGCTATTCACCAGTTACAACAGTCCGGCTGGGACGGCACAGTCACAGCCGATCAATTATCGTCGCAGCCTCCGAACGTCGGAGAGATTGATCTATACGGTCGGTCACGTTTTGCAGACGAGCTACGACCTATACCTTATCTACTGCGCACGAAGCGCTCAAAGCGATGTCCCATCTGCCGTCACATTATCAGCAAGCCCGAAGCGAAGGTTGCTACAACGCGTTTCCGCATCAGGCTCGTCGCCGGAAGCTACATCCCTAGTATAACCATCCGGCCACTCACACTGCCGACATCATCTTCAACGGGGGCAATTAACACTCCCACAGACCTGCTTGCTCCGCTCAAGCCTGTGCAGTATCTGCTCACGTTCAAGAACCCTATTTTTGAGACAATCAAGGTGACACTTGCAACCCCGGCTACTACACCAGGCCGGTTCGCAAGCAAGGTGACGGTTCTCTGTCCGCAGTTTGAGATCGACGCCAACACTGATGTATGGGATGAGGCGCTCAAAGACGGCGAGAAAGAGCGGCGACGGAGAAGGGGCGAAGAAGGTCAGCACCAAGCCGAGGCTGGAAAGATCTGGGAACGTGGTCGCAACTGGGTTAGCATCGTCGTCGAAGTTGTGCCAGCTTCGCTGCGCCTCGACACTCTTGCTCTGATGAAGAAGGATGGGGAGGACATTGATCTAGGGCCGTTAAGGACGGACGAGGACATCTTAGAGATACCCATGTTTGTACGAGTGGAATGGGAAGCAGACGCTGCCCATGATGAAGTCGGTGCAGCGCCAGGTAAAGACAAGGAGGCGAGGGAGAAGCGCGAAATGGCGTATTGGTGCGTGCTTGGAATTGGACGCATTAGTCAGGATTGAAACATGCAAAAGCCACGATACCCCAGATTACGTTTTGAGAATATTGTAATGCAGACAGGCAATGCAGAACCAAGCTTGTATTTGCACAACAAGCTATCTAAGACGCCATTTCCCTTTTCACATCCGTGATCAATGCTTTCATGAAAAGACGACCAAAATTCCGACCCTTAATCCGCTTAGAAGTCCGAGGCACCAGTCTGGGGGAACTCGAAGATGACACCGCGGCCAGTCAACCGCCTGTAGACCTCGGAGTAGGTGTCCAGTCTGTAGTCAACACCACCACGCTCCTTCTCGTCGAGGATGACCTTCAGGGTCTTGGAGCCGTCCTCCTTGGTGCGGAGACGCTTGCCAACAATCTCAACGGGGTAGACGAGATCGGTCAAGACAGCATCGTGGACAGCGGTGAGAGTCCTGGAGCGGGGGCGCTTCTGCTTCTGGGTGTTGCGAGAGCGGGTGGAGCGCTTGGGCTTCGGCAGGATGCGGCGAGAAGCCAGGATCAGGACGTGGCGGTCAGAGAACTTCTTCTCCAGCTCGCGGGTGAGGCTGCGAAAAGCTATCAGCGAATTGAAGAGCGAACAGATGTCATTGAAAAACACTTACCGCTGCTGGACACGGTGGAAACCCTGCAGGGAAGGGACGGGGACAAAGATGACAATTGCCTTCTTGCCGTGGCCAACTTCGATCTAGTCAAGACCCAAAGTCAGCATGCGAGCTCCAGGATGCTGAGAATCCTTGGACCGCTTCCCGTCCTATTCCACGAGCTGTGATGTTATCTGGGTGTCGGGTTTCGTTCAGGCGCCGTCAAAGCGCCCTTAGAAATGTAGACAGTCCTGCGCGTCGGTGACGACGAGAGACCTGATCACGGGGGACTCGGTGGAATAGGGATCTCGGTTGCGATTCGCGGGTTCATAGTCACTCATATCAGTGCAACGGCATTTCTCACCTCTCGGGCAGAGACAAACTGCAGAGGTCGGAGGGCGACCTTGAGATCGGCAGTGTTTGTCTCGAGATCGTACAGAGCACCAGCAATGCTGGTCTCCAGCTCAGAAGGGTTCTGGCGGGACGGGCTGTTCGCCGCGATCTTGTTGAGGGCTGGGCTGGACATGATTGCGGTGTTGTGTGTTTTGAATTGAAAGCACACTCGCGATGTCTGGTCGGCGGAGCGAAGTAAAAGTTTCGAGGTCCAGGCCCACCTGCCCACCAAAAGTCCTCGCTTAGTTGGGGTTTGCAAACCCTAACTCCACACCAGTCACGTGCAACCTCTCTGGGGCTGGGCTGTCAGCAGCTGGTCACCAGCTGCGCTAGCAAGCTTGGTCCCCCCCTTTTTCTCTCAACACCACACGTTCGTCTCGGTGGATTGCTGAATCAAATGTGATGGATACCTGAGCTTTTCGACATACACTTAGGAAGCACAAGCTTGGGGAAGGATCTGGCAGCAAGAAGACTTTCCGCAACAACAACAACAACGGATTAGGGTCATTGCCACGCCCTGGTCTTAGGGTTGCTCTTGCTGCCACTTTCGTACAGTGATTAGGTCAATAGTTCAATAACGTGGCACGATCCAAGAATACTGTGCTGACAGCCAACCAGCTCGTAATTTACACACCAGAAGATGTTGATCATTCTAAGGGCAACAAACTACTCTGGTAGGCTAGTTACACTCATAAGCTCTATAATAGGCGTAAACATGGTAAATGAATCTACCTACAATTTTGATCTGCCTGCAATATTCTGTCATTGGCGCCTGCCATTTACCACTGGTGACTGCCACGGCAATTGCGGTCGACAGTGCTCATCCCTAAGCTGGCATCGTCTCGTCCACGTTCTCTCTGAAACACGTTTTCAATCATTCTTTCAAAGAATTTCAGTAAAACTTCTCCTAGGACTCTTCACTTCTTCTCTATGCTTAGCTTTCGCTCATAGCAGCCTATTGCAAGCGCCTTGTTTGCATTCAGCTTCCGCCTGGTCCGATTGTCATGGAAAGCCGGATCGAGACGCCGGTGCTGGGCATAGCTCCGGAACTGGGTGCTAACCTGGCCCACCGGAGTAACGGGACTACGCGGAGATCTAAGCTGCTGGCATTCTACTCTCATCCATGGACTCAAATCATCCTAATCAGTGTAATTTGTTTTTGCTGTCCGGGAGTAAGAGGTTCTCATTAGCGTCTCGCATTTCACCGCTGACGTGATGCTCTCGTTAGATGTACAATACTTTGAGTGGCCTCGGCGGATCTGGACAGGTTGACTCTACCGTTGCGGCAAACGCAACCGTTATGATGCTTTCGACGACTGCTGCAACTTCTCTATTTTTCGTAGGTCCCATCTTCTCGTGGTTTGGTCCCAGGATTTGCTTCCTCGTTGGAGGCTGGACCTATGCCCTATACAGCGCGAGTCTCTTAAACTACAACCGTTAGTATTGGGCTTCAGCCGAGTATAATTTGGAAACTAATATTAGGACAGACCATCACAATGGGTTATTCGTCATAGCTGCCGGTGCCATATTGGGTGTTGGAGCTTCATTTCTATGGATCGTGCAAGGGGCAATCATGACCACCTACGTTCCAGAGCCCCAGAAAGGACGTGCAATCGGGATTTTTTGGATCATCTTCAACCTCGGAGGGGGAATAGGATCGCTTGTGTCATTCGCTTTCAACTTTCACTCCAAAAGTGGAACAGTTTCAGACTCAACCTACATAGCCTTAATGGCGGTTATGTTTTCCGGCTGGGTTCTTGGCTTATTTATCTGCAGCCCTTCCCGGATCGATTTGTCTCAGCTACACGTCGTTACCGCAACGGAAAAGCACACTATCAAGGGCACCATCTCAATTGCAGTGAAGACGATTGTCAACTGGCGCGTCGCTTGTAGTAAGTAACTCTAGATTTCATCGTTGACTTGATAGAAATGCTAACACGAGGATGTCAGTGCTGCCTCTCTTTCTTTGCGCGAATGTCTTCTATTCTTACCAACACAATGATGTAAATGGTTTGAATTTCAATCTTCGCACTCGCTCACTCAATGGCGCGCTGTATTGGATGGCGCAAATGATAGGAGGTCTTCTAATCGGCGTCATCCTCGATTTACCTTCCCTCCAGCGCCCAACTCGAGCCCGCCTTGGTTGGTTAGTGCTCTTCGTTACCGGCATGTCCATTTGGGGAGGAGGATACGCGTTCCAGAAATGGAAAGATAGGCGTACCGCAGCTGGTTACAAAGATAGTATTGATTACACTCATGGATCTGTCTCAACTGGGCCCATCTTTCTCTACCTCTTTTACGGCGCGTACGACGCCTTGTGGCAAGGCTTCTGCTACTGGATCATTGGAACAGAGTCAAATTCGACTAGTCGCGCGGCAGTTTTGGTCGGAGCATATAAGACATTTCAGGCCACTGGAGGTGCAATGGCATGGCGTATCAATGCGCTCAAAGTGCCGTCCATGACCCAGCTCGCAATGAACTGGGGCCTGTCAATGGGTGCGCTGGTCTTGGTCCTACCGACTGTTTGGACTGTCAGCAAAACTACTAGTGCAAAGGAAGAGACAGGATTCATCACCAACCTGCCAAGTCAGAAGGGTGATGCACGTATTTAATATTTCATCGTCACCCCACCCCCTCCCCCCGTATCACGCAGCCTTAGAACCTTATAGCAGATGGTAGCTTAGATTAAGCAATGTAGTATCAGTACAAGCGATACTTGAGAACAGACTCACATCCAAACAATGCAAGCATAGAAACTATAATTATTGTAATCCTAACTTTTCTCCAACCAAAATCTGGGTATACCTCTTCCCTGCCGCAGTAATGCAAAAAGTTCTTCCTTCCCCACGATATCAAGAGGTTCTTGGAGATCACCTAATTTCGAACATGAGCCATCTCAAAATGAGGGGCACCCTCACTGCCTCGATCCTGGAACTCAACCGCAATCTCCTTTGTCCGCATAATGCCCCAAGAGTCGGTGCTATTCTCAAGGATGCTCCTGTCGCTACCGTCATCACGCTTGCCACCGCTTTCTTGTCGGGAGTTATGCTGAGCGCTGACAACAACGGTATTGGTGTTTGAGCGCTTCAGGCCATTCTCGTCTCCTTCATCATTGGCAATATAGTATCTTCTTGCTGTTGTTTTAGCGTCGCGAATGAGCACGCGCAAAATTGGGATGCTGGCAGCGATGATGGTGACGCATGATTCCGCATTGCCCCAAATGAAAAGATCGATACCATCGTCTGTTTTCCTTAGAATTAGTCAAGGAAAATATTCTTTGAGGAAATCAAAACTTACAGTTGTCCATAGATCTCATTGCTGGAATCTTGCTTGTTTTGACAAGAGCTGTGATACCGGCGCTGGTAGCTATTAGCTTGTAGGTTTGCGAGCTAGCAAGAAGAAGACTTACAAAACGCCACAGCTCATAGCCACGGCAACACCAAACTTTTCCTTCTTTCTCATTTGGAGACCCCATACCAGTTTCCACGGAAGCAAAGCTAGAGTAATATCCATAACTGCGGAGTATACTATACATTGAGGGTTAGTGCTAAGCATTCCATCTAAAAAGAACCTTGATGATCTGTACCAGCAGAGAAGATATCATAATCAACAAGCACGTGAAGCGGCCAACACGTTCCGGCTACAAATATGTTCCTATGCGATTCGGAGTCAGTTATTACCATATAGAGAGAGAAAAGACTACAGGAAATCCTCCTAGGATATGTCTCGGGAGCAAGACTCCAAAATTTAACAACATCTTCAATACTCAAAATATGGCTACGAGAAGTCAAAGCAGACTCCGGAAGCTGCTTACCATGATCTCTCGACGGGGGAGCACTGAACCCAGATGAAGAGTGCGCTTAGGCCCATGGCAATATTTGACGAGATTATGATGAACCAGACGGACGCTCTCATCCAGCCTTCAGTAAGTCTCAAGAGGGTGAGTGCAAAACTTGTCTTGGACCAGATAGCCGCGGTCAATGAGAAGGTGCCCGCTAAGTTGATAACTTTGAGCATCTTTAAGTAGCTGGGATATTTATCAAGTGGCAAGTCCCAGATATGATAGCCATAGCCAAGTGTCACAGCATATGTCAACAAACAAGTGGTGACAGAGATGCACATCTACTGTATATCAATAAATGATTGCGGTGATGTGGTTTGAATACGCAGAGCTTACCCATGAAGCAATAAGAATAAGATCGTCCCACCATAGGCCGCGACGCCGCAAAAACTTGCAGTAAATTCGAAGTCCTAGGAATCCTGCGGCGAGTAGTAGTAACACCCAAATTGATGCTATCAGACGGCCACCGCCATTGTCATGAGGGAACGAAGCTATCTGCTCGGGAGTCCATGGCCAAAAAGAAGTTGAGCTGTTTGAGGAACCAGTCGAGTTAGAAGTTGATGACATTTCCTCGATCTACAGTGGCTAATATCATAAAGTATAATTCAAAAAAGGTGTAAGTGATGTCGGCTAGCTGAGATATTGACAGGTCTATCAAAGCAGCTATATAATTGCCTCGTGGCATCAGATTAATGAGACAGGGTACTCAACCGCAAACTCGGTAACGTGGGTCATGTCGATAGCATCTTATAGCTATTCTTGCTCCGTTACGGAACCAGAGATTCAGACTTTCCCGCACTCTACCATTATGCCTCAAGGTGTCTGCCGCACCTGATCAGGTCCGAGCGCACGCTGTAGATCTAGGACACTTCAAGGCAGGGGTGCTTCTGCAGCTGCCGGAACAATCAGAGCTCAGCTTGAATTTAGCCGGATGTGCACATCGTGTGGGGGAGGGTGTTGCGGGTGCACATGGCGTCGAATCAACTTAGGTGACCGACTCTTCAAATGCAAGTGCCCGCTCGCTCAGACACGCCAGCAAAAAACCAGTGTCCGCGAGGAAAGCTGATCACCTGAAGGCCGACCAGGCTGGTATTTCCCTAAATAATCACAGAGGGACTCGCTCGGAATGTTTGACTCGCGTCCTAGAAAAAGGCTTTGTCTGAAGGCTGCCCTGTGAGAGATAAGCTGAATGCATACAGAATTTTCAAACGCTCCAAGTTGCATGAAAAACTCGGACCAAGATGCGACTTGGTCTGGGCCAGAGTGGTGGCCAGATTCTAGGGTCAAGTTGGGGTAATTCTTGTTTGACAATCTGCAGGCGCGCCGTGGCTTGCATCGTAAAATCATCGTGAATGGCTCAATGGAACGAACTACTCCGCACAGCCTTAAAGCGGAGAGGGTTGCACTTTCAACATGCCATTGGCTGTTGAATCTGGAGGACCGCTCGAATCAACTCGATCACTCGTTGATGATGTCGTGACAACCTCCAGCAAGATGAGTAGTATGTGTCTGTGCGTGAGTAATGGCACAAATGTAGGACTTCCTGATCCATGAAGCAAGCTATTCTTCATAGAGATCCAAAAGAGCTCGATATGCAAAACAGATGTAGATCAGCTGTAGGTCACAGGTGAGCCAGTTGGATAGTAACTCCATGCTCGGAGTGCGCATCCGCAACGGGCAGGAAGACAACAGTCGCGCGTGAGTCATTCAGAGTCTTAGACGAGATTGTGGCAGCAGAGTCCACCCTGGCCGTGCTGATGTCAGCGGATGGATCGTGCCAAAAGACCACGGTGTACTCCCCGCCAATGATCTCAGAGAGGTCACCAAACCCGTTGGAGGGAGACCTAGACCTAATAGTCAGGGTACGTGTGAATTGAATGACCGAGTGTTCAGAGGAGATCTTGGTGGCCTGTCAAGTAAGTAGTAAGTTGATGTCAGAACAGGTCGGGTCTTGTCAATGGAGGGAGCTTTGTAGGCACTAACCTGCTCGATCGAGACCTGGCGGTACTTGTTGCCAGCCATCTCATCGTCAATGCCCAGGCCTGGGTCGCCCGTGATAGGGGCGCTTTCTCGCGAAATACCGTCGTCGAGGTACATTTGATATGCCTGTAAATCAGTCAGCTAATGTCTCACGCCAACACTACCATTTATACGTACACTATCTTTGCCCGGGTAGATGTGTAGAGTAATGGGATTGGCAGGCTGCTTTGGCAGGGAAGGGTCGGGGATGTAGTCTCGGACCTCGATCTTGGGAATGATACCTCCTTGTCGGTGTCAGCAATTGTATTTCAGGACTCATCTCATTGTGCTTCACCTTCGCGAATGTACATGGGAGTGGTATATGGAAGCTGAGAATCTTCATCACTGATGAGGCAGTTGTACTCGATCCGGCTACCACCCTCAGCGGGAGGGGACAACGCCACACCCAGAGGGTCATCAGGGCGCAGGTTCATGGCATACCACTTATCGGGATATGGCAGGTAGAGCTTGCGGGTTCGGCGCTTGTCTTCAGGGATTAGAGCAGGCGCAACGAGTAAGTCGTTTCTGACCATATATTGACTTCTGGTAAAGTATTGGTTCTAATACAGCCAGGTGGTAAGTACAACTGTTTTGTGGTGACCAGAAGAGCTAGCTTACGTCGGCCGAGAACAGACTTCGATCAACTTCATCGGTGATGACCTAGAGACGCGTTAGTACTGTGACTTGGAGGACACTTATGGACTTACCATGGCCCTCGCAATAGGCAATCCCGTTATGAGGTTCTCAAACATGGCATCGTACATGAGCTGCATCAAACTGTAACGGAGTCTAATTTGATAACGGCAGACAGGAAGAACAGCCCGATAAAGCATCGCTTCATGTCCCTGATAGTTGTCCTTGTTGTCTTCGTAGTGCTTCTGGTAGGCATAAGGCTCCTGGAACTGCTTGCCATCCTTTCTCATCGTACCCTGTCTGGGCCCGTCGACCCAGAAGCGTTTCTTGGTGTAGTGATTCCTAATACGCAGTGTAAGCCCACATTCGAAGCAAACAGGGAAGATAGTAGACTTGCCGGAACCAAGGCAAAAGAGAGTATGCGCAATACCAACGAATGAGAAGCTCGGGGTTGACAAAGTCATGCTCAGAGTCGATGAACTCGAAACCACCAACATCCTGCCCCGAGATAGTGATACCAGACATGCCGAGGGCTAAAACTTGGGCCACTGAGATGTTGAGAAAGTCCCAGGTAGAAGCGTTGTCTCCAGTCCAGAGCCCTGCGAAACGATGACTTCCAACGAAACTGCCACGGCCGATAATAAAGTTGCGCCTGTTCTGTCTCCAAGACAGTTGTGGACTGATCTTGTGGATGTTGTTCAGGCCATGGTAAGTAGCTTTGTGCAGATTGTAGCTGTACAGAGCCCATATCTCAATAGCTTTCTTCTGAACTGCTCGGTTGGAGTCCTTGGACCAGCCGTCGGAATCGAGTTTGAGCCTGAATGGTAGACTAGGACATGGATGTGATCAGCATATTGTAAGAAAGACCAAGGCCGGGCCATGCACGAGCTTACGCTTTCATGTCTCCGTACTCCTCTGCAATGCAAGGTCCGGTCATATCTTGCCAGACGAAGTCAAGCCCGCACTCAAAGAGATACTTGTATTGCTCTCCCCACCACTTTCTCACCTCTTTTTTGTTCAAGTTAGGATAGTGTCCTGGATGGCCGTTACCCCAACCATAAAAGACACCACCATGGAAGGGCTGTTTGTTGTTGAAGGTTTGCGCAAAATCAGACTTGTCGGGCTCGAAGTAATCCGGCTTCTGGTCAATGGGCGATATGAATATCTGTTTTCCAACACTCCAGCCCTGATAGCGTTGTTCATGAGCATCAGGTGCCGACGGATCGATATCACGATCATCAATGATAAAGTTCCCGTTCTTCAGGCCCTCATTTAGGGTGGAGTAGGTATCGCTGGGAATGGAGCTGATATACGGCGTGATGTTAGTACCGCATTTGACGCCTTTCTCTCTCAGTGTCTTGAACATGTTGACGGGGTCGGGGAAGTGCTTTTCTCTCTTGTCAATGGTAAAGGTTCGGTAGTCATCCTGCATATCAACGTCGATGTGCATACCATCAATTGGAAAGCCGCACTTGCGATACTCTTCAACTGCTTCGAGAACTGATTCCTGATCATCGTAGCCGTAGCAGGCTTGGTGGTACCCCAAGACATATCGGGGCTTGAGCCTGGGTTTGCCAACAATGGACGTATATGACTGGATCAGATCTTGCATGCTGTCTCCCGCGACCATGATGGCCTGAAAGCTGTTGAAGCGCGTAGCAACGCGCACAGCACCCTGGTCCTTAACCCCAACGTCAACGCAAATATGCGAGTAATTATCAATGAACGTCGAAATTTGAGACCTGTATCCAGGGTGCGAGTCAACTTCAATCCAGAACGGCTCTGAGTGATACAGAGGCTCTCGGTCATCGGTCGGTCCCTTGCCGTAGACATTCTGGTATCTCATGTTGTCAAAATCTAGAAGAATTCAATCAAAGCACTGATATTACCATAGAATGAAGAGATAAACTTACTGAAGTAGTTCATGTACGTCTTTTTCTTGAACAGGTGCTTGCCACCCTGTTCACCAAAGCCCATAAAGTCCGCTGTGACGGACTTTTCGATGGACAGAACAGTCGCGTTACCCGAGTATTGGAGACCTCTAGGTCTGGTCTTCCAAATAACGGCAGCCTGAGCGCCCTTGGAAGTGGACAGTTTCATTTTCTTGACAGTCTCAGAATCAAATACTTGCAGCTCAGGAAGCTTTTCTACAGGAAGACTGCTCTCCAAGACACGGACAGCACTGATCCTGAAAGGGTTTCTTTGTACCCACAGCTGGAGCTCGACTCGACGCTTTGGAGTCTTAGGATACAGCACGGACTGGAGAATGTAGTATATCGGGTCTTCCAAGATTTCAACGCCCCATTCAATGTTCTCAATGCCATCGAGAGTGGCGATGAGCACGCTAAGAGTATCCCGAATGATAGTTCGACTAGAAGTAATTAGAGAAATGGCCAGTCTCTTGGGCAGCAAAGAGTGATTGAGCAGTAACTGACGTGTTGAAATCAGTGAAATCGGAACCATTCTTGTTATTGGGGTCGAACCGGATCCTCCAGACCTTGGGACGCATAAACTGAATCAGGAGAAGGGAATCATCATTGAAACGAAACACAGCTCCATGACTGCAGGCAGGGTTTGGCTTGCCATCGCCCAGCAGTTGATCATTCTTTTGAAACGAAATTGTGACCGGCTGCTTCACATCTCCGGTGCCGGAGTCAAGACTTTGGAAGAAGTCATCGGCCTTAACAAAGGTATAAGGGTCGCGACGCTTGATATCCTCATAACTTCCCATTCTGCTCTCTATCGAACTAGGCCTGTATGGTATTCCAACGTATATAGCGTTGAAAGAGGTGATTGAGTTGTAAGAAGAGCAGATAATGGAGTGTTGATTCTTATATGTCTGTCGTTCCCGGGTTGACCGCCTGTGCTCGCTTATGTTGTGTAACGGGAGTCTGGTATGTAGTTAACCGCCACAAAAGTTTTGTGGCTGGAATGCTCCCTTGCGTGGCAATATTATGCAGTTTGACAGAAGTCATGGTGCATCGCTGTCATTGAATTCTGGAGTGGTGCTCCTTGACTGGGTTTCGGCCCCAATCACCTGTCATTCAGACGAGCGGATCAATGCAGGTGCAAGTGTAAGCTGAAATGCGGTGGCAACTGCAACTATTATTGCAACTATGGGTGTGACTGTAAATGTGAGTGTGAGGGCATAAGTACGTCTGTTGAGGGTGTGGTAAGAGTCCCTTGCGGAAAGGGGCACGCGGCTTGTGTGTCTTGGACTAGTGTATCTCCCGAACTCTGGACTAGTTTTCCTTACAAAATATTTAAAGCGGCTTGGATTGGAGGTTTGGCTCATTCAATACTTCTCCCGGCTTCTGATCTACTTGCTGTTACAGGAACTACAGCACCACGAAATTTGTGTTACTGGAATCGCTGTTGATCAGCCGCACAAAACGTCCACAGTCAGAGTGCTCTCTCGCCCAATAATCAGTTCATACAGATCGACAGGACAAGGAAATTAATGGTACCGCACCATCCGTTAATTTTTGAGTGATGATTCTGAACTGGACTCGGCATCATCTGTCTTTTGAGCACGCCAAGACTACCGGTACAAGTGCAAGTGTAAGGGAGGGTGTAACTGAAACCGTAATTGTAATTGTAAACTGCAACTGCAAGCGTGAGTGCAAGTGTAAGTAAGGGTGTAATTGCAGCTGCACATGTGCACAAGGATACAAGTAAGCCAGAAGGGGACGTTGTTAGAGTTACATCTAGCTCTCAAGCACACATCTCCTTCTCGGATCGCATGTGCATACATGGACTCTAAACTTGTTGTACAGAGGTAACACTTGGAGTAGATTGTATTGGAGGCTTGGCTAATTGCTGCCCAACATGATTCGGGTACTACTTCATCTCCCCAACCGACTTATTATTCTAGGAAGTATATGGATGATCAGATCCACTTGCGAAGGGTCGGCAACGAATTTAAGGCAACCATACAAGTATTGTTGAGTGTATGTGGCAAGTATCGCAGGAAAGGTTATATGGCCATTTTGAGAAGCCGAGCGCTATGTTATAGATTTGGAAAACCGATTGTTGAATGCCGATGAGTAGATTCACAGACACAGAACCAAACACAAACACAGGCACAGGCACAGGATACAGCGACAGTAGCAGAGATTCCAAGGACATAGCCGTGACTCCATCCTATACGCCTGCGATGGTTCGGAGTTCACAATACATTTAATTAGACCGCTGACAAACATAAATAGGGACGACTTACTTTGAATGAATCTAGTTCGCATAAAATAGGAACCAAATTGCTTGATCCTGTTCCCATATCACTTCGCACTGGGTCTTGCGCACCGTACTTCCTACATACTGTATCTATGTGATCATGTTACCACATATTTCTGAGCCGTCTTTTGGTGCCTCAGTTATTGAGGACACACGTCAAGATGGTTACTGGGTGGAGACGTTCCACTTCAGCAACACAGACCCTGTTCCAGGTGTTATCACGTAGGGAAAACACACACTTCTATGAGAGGAATGAGCTCATTCGATGATAGATCCGGATTAGTCTCGGGGGAAATAGGATTTCTTGACAACCCGATCGCTGCTCGGGCAGCTGATCAATGTGCTGACACTCACAAAGTGTTCGAGGCGGATGTCACAAAGCGTAAGTATCACATCATCTTACCTATATGGCCTAACTTTACTAAAGAGATAAGCTTGGACCAAATACTTGATTGGAAAATTCGTTAGTCCCGTCGCCGTAGTCGCCTATGATATTACAAAAAACGGCCTCATGGACTTGATTATTTGCCATGACTACGGGGGTTCTACGCTCGAATGCAACATGAAAGGAGGATGGATCTCTTGGTTAGAGAACCCCGGGCGAGATAAGCTTGGAGATGGGTTCTGGAAGCAGCGTAAGATCGGCCGGTGGCCTGCTATGTATCGATTGAAAGCTGGTTACTTTACACAAAGGTCTGTAGTATCTTGCCGCGACTTGGAGAATATTCGTGTCAGATAGTCTAACCAGGGTAGATCATTTCTTGAAATTGTCGGGGCATCCATAGTCCCGGGTGAGCGCGACAAGGTAATTTACCCCATTCCATACCTAAGATCTGACCATTTGCTGACTTCGGAAACAGACGACTCCGGTTCCAATTATCCGCTTTCTATCACCAGAGAACATCCTTGAGGCGTAAGACAGAGGAGTTCACTTTACGCTTCAAAGCTGACACCCATAGAATCGAGTGGCCTCGTGAAGTCATCGACGATGAACACTTTACAGTCATTCATGAAGTCACCAAGAAAAGGTCAGTCTAGTGGTCCTTCTATCGTAGTATGGTTTTAACAAGTCATTCCCAGGATTGGCGGGCCAGACAGCCTCGACTCTCTGCTTATATCGTCTCGCGAGGGCATAACCTGGCTGTATTTTGAGGGTGGTGTTTGGAAGCGGGATCGGATAAGTATTGGAGAGCCACAGGAGCCACGGCAGCTTCCTGGCTCTCTATCTCCAGGCTTAGGAGACCACTGGGGCGTAGGCTGCGCTGATGTTGGTAAGCTGGATGGTGATCCTTTCGCGTACATCGCAACTCTGGAGCCATGTCATGGTATCTCCGCTTGTGTCTATACCAAGACCAGCCGCGGGATGAAACATAATCTTTGGAAGAGACATGTGCTGGACACCTATGGTACGCCAAACCAAAGGCTCAAGAGAGGAGATGGCCCCGGGCAGTACATTGTCTGTGCCGATTTCGATGGCAGGTTCTCCATCTGAAAAGCCGAGTCACGCTAGATGCCTAACACAAGATAGGTGATGGTGATGACGAATTCCTCCTGGCGCTCGTCGGACCTCTTGACCGGAATGATGCGCAAGACGCTATTCCAGTGAGAGATATTTGCTCCCTCATTATAACCTACTAACAGCCGCCACTTAGCCGCCACCTGGGTCTCATCCTTACAAAGTAGGCGTATCCTCTGTTAATTGAGCCTCAACTTCCATAACTAATTTTATCATAGGGTATCATGTACTACAAAGCCATCGACATCCGAAGAGGATTGTTTGCGAAGTGGAGAATTGCTTCGGGGTCATCCGCTCGTATTGCTCTTGGGTCAGTCCACCTGATTCCTTATAAAAGTCGACAGTTTTCTCTTCTGACAGGCTCAGTGACTTTGGTGGCACCGGAAATTTAGACCTTGTGTCCACCAGCTTCAACGTCCGACTTTACTATGAAGAACCGAAGCCTGTTACTACTCTCCACCTGAACCAGATCGAGAATCGGGATAAAATCCCAACTGTTTGTCCCATTGTCCCTACTGCTTGGGATAATGAATGTCTAATATATCTTGCACGGGCTCGAGAGGTTCGAGAGCTGCACAAGTTATCTCTAATAGAGATTGCCAACTATGCGATAAGCGTGGAAATCCATCCCAAAGATGGTAAGATCTCTCTCCCGTCCGGCCAGGGTATCAAGGTTTTGTATGGATCAGTACATGGCGAAGACATCCGAAAGCCACTAGGACGTTCCGGCTTCCCTACAATTTCCCCGGTCACCAGTAATGGAACAACTCTCACAGCTAGCGTCGACAAGGGTGCTATCATGCTGCGTCTGGTTCCTCTAGGTGAGCCGGGAGAGTGGGGAAACACTGAAGACGTGCCAGTCAAGACGATCGTTGACTTAAGCAAGATGGGGCTCAAGCTTCCGCCTCTAAATTTCCGAAAGGTAGAGGACCTTTGGTTCGGCGGCAACTTCAAGGGCAAGAATTTCTGGAACCTGTCGGGGTTTCATTTCCGCTTTGCTGACGACAAGTCGGAGATTGCCCATATGCAATTCTGGACTGCCGGTATGTGTAATGAAGACTCTTGTCCAATATGTCATGCTAATGAATGCTGCCAGGACCTAATGTTGACTGTGGCGTACACAATCACAGCGCAGATATATTCCAGGAGATCCATATCTGCCTATCTCCCGGTACCGGCAATGGAGGGATGTCTCGTCTGATTGAGTCCAAGACAGAACCAAAGGTCAATGACTGTAGTAGCCAGGATTTTGAGCATGTCGTGCTTCCCCGGCTCTATGAACATGGAGGCATGTGGTATCGGGACTCGTACGGCACTGTAGTGCGAAATAAAGAGAATGCGGTCGCGTATCCTTATCACAAGTGGCAGGCTGGCAGTGGGCCAAATCTCGACATTTGGCTTGCCCTCGAATTCAACCCCGACCAGGACCTATAGGCAGATACAGCCAGTACCATAGGAGAGGTCCCAAGTGTAACCTTCAGCAATTGTTGAAGAAGCACGGTCGTTTAATTCAATGTCTATTCCTGTTACAGTAAATTGGAGCTTGGTGTCTTTGTGTTGGCTCTGATAACACCTACACATTATGCAGAGTGTGTCTCATGGAGCGCGGTCTGACATCTCAGCGACATCTGTGCGACGAATCTCGACAATTGTGCATACAGTTGACGTGAACGATTCCCCAGATACGACACTGATGGGTTACTAGTGTGTTGCTTCGTAATCAATATCGTCAAGACTAATGCAGGTTCATCTTCAAGCCGATGCACACATACACACAAACTCCCAATCTGTCTCTCTGGCCGCCGGCTCCTCTTGTACACAACAGAGCCAGTAAGAGGTAACTTTGGTAGCACTGCTCAAATTTTGAGGATACACGCAATTCAAACCATTTACAAGAGGCGTCTGGGCGCATCCTTGCTGCTGCTTCGCTGGTACCGCAATCGCTTCGGACCCCCTTGACGTCCGACGGGCTCGAGTCTTCTTCTAGTGAAGATATGGGGACAATCATTTCCTGGCTGTCACCCGTGTCATACGAGTCGTCGCGGCCAGGTGTACGATCGCGGGCAATAGTCTCCTGTGAAGGTGGTGGAAACGTGCGCCACAAAGACATTTCAATAGCTTGAATTGCTTTCTCTGGCTTTTCTCGCTCATGTTAGCAAGTGCTTGATGCTTTGTTGCTCGTGTATAAACTATGTGTCCTATTAGTACTTCGATATGTGAGTAAGGGCCTTCAGGTTTATGTCCCAAAGTAAGCTAAGGGTTACTTGAGCAATACTCAAAGGGGCAGGTGATCGTGATCTTGGCGGTCCTATTGAGTAGACCGTAGAACTGTATTGATAGCTGAAGAGCTAGTCTCTTCATCTTTAGGGTCATGGCTATGAGCGTGGTCTTATATAGAACTATGAAATGTTTAGCCCACACTGATGATCACCGCTGCTCAGTGGGGCTCCCTGACTCTCAGTGACTCTGGGTGAGCCGGCCTTGGTCTTATCCTTTTTCTTATGTGTATGTGATCCTTTGCCCTACCTTGTCAGGCCGCCACGCTCTGGCTCCTACGGGGTGGTCAGGTTTCTGGCCGTGACAACTACCCAGTCGCTTTCATGAAACCGGACAAATTACATGATAATCACCTAGAGATCACCTCGATTACCTCAAGGAAATAGCCTAGGGTGAGCTTATAGCAGCAAAGCCAATGCAGCTCACCCTATTGGTCGGAGCTTAGTGACCCGAGGTAAGTCCGTCTGCAAAACTGCCGTATTGGTATGTTTAGCTGGCTTTCAGTTGTCACAGCAAGACCGTCTCCCAAAATTCGGGCGTTCCCAGGTTTCCGAGGAAGGAAGCCTCAAGCTCAGCCTGTCATTACGGAGACCATGGAGTTTGGAAATTTGAAAGTTTATCATTCGGGCTTGAAAATGTAAGCTTGTGCCCGCGTTTAGCTTCAAAAAGATATATTTCAAAGGGGCCAGTGGCTTCACTTCGAGGTTTTGTAGTCATTAGTTGCTTGTATGATAACCTGGCATCAGAAATCCTTTTTAGCTTTTGCCAATTGAGCTTACAGAGCATGAGTGTATTTAAAATCCTCGATGATATACAGATCTCTGTTTTCGTTGAATAGGTCCCGACAACTATCGGCGTGAGAGAGACAAGTAGTAGAAAATCGTTCGAGAAACGTAAGCTATCAATATCAATGGAGTTCCAGGCTTATTTAAACCCAAGAACAATGATGATAGCTAGACAATCTGACAAGATGCTGTTTGTCAGGCACGGCAGCTCGCCACTATTATCGCGCCGCAATGAAAGATGATGACGCAGCCACTGGCGGATTCCACCCTGGCGGCGCAGGATTCGGGCACCATCCTTCCCCTGTTTCGATGGTGTAAGCCCTAAGTTACAAAACCGCTAGCCTGTTGATTGGCCGAATAAACTTTTGGTGGTTTGGATCAACATGACATGGCGTACACTGATTAGAAAGCAGAATTTTGCGAACACAACTGTTCGACAGTTACTTATCTCCACTCGGAAAAGGTGATACTTGTTAAGTCTTACTATGTATAATACTATTACTCTCCAGAGACTTATTGCTCTAAAGTCATCAAATAAATACAAATTAGAACTTTGAACTCTACGATGTTTACAAATCGAAGTTGCGGCAATTGCCATAATTGGGCTCCGCATGATGTACAGGCGTCGCAATAGTGAAAGTAGCGAGATATGTGGGGCATCCCACCTCCAGTGATCCTTCGCGCAGAGACATAAAGCGGCCGACAGTTCCCATACTCGAGCTTCGCCACGAATTCTCCCTCTATACTTCAAGGTTGTCCAGAGTGTATGCAGTGGACACCTACATATCAACATTGGAAAAACCCACTTGCAATGGCGTCAAGTATTAGCAGCTCGGGTAATGTGGAGGCGAAGGGATCTGTTGGCTCTGGAACGGATAAGCATACGAAAGGTACAACAAGAAAAAGCTTCAGCTTGGCCCATGCTTACAAGGTCTAAAGCCTATCTGCTCAACACCGCTGCTGAGGTGAGTCCAATTACCTCTCTAGTTCTTCGATAAAGTGGCTAAATCTAAGTAGGAGGAAAGGTTACGCCTTCGTAAGACTCCCAATTTGATAGTGATTACTTGTACTCACAAGTTCAGATTATCAGCATCAAGCTCTAGTGACATTACAAGGCGGAGACTTGCTTGTTAGCTCCTTGAACAAGGAGCCCCAGGCAGCACTCGATCTGGCAACTGGCACAGGTGAGCGGATAAATCTGCCCACACCTGATTTGCTTTGTGTACCTGACAGACATTAGCAAATTGGGCCTATGACTTTGGTATGCATATCTTGACGCTTTCAAGGAGCCATCTCTGATTTCAGTGCAGCAAAAAAGTATCCCAACGCAACAGTGTACGGAGTTGATATTACCGAAGGCTTGGACCCAGAGTATGTATCATCGCTGTTCAGCTTTCTAAGCACAACACTTACATGATCCGGAGCACACCCTCAAATTTCCAATTCCAAGTGTTGGATATACAGCAAGAATGGTCGTTTGCTGAGCTCTTTGACGTCATACATGGCCGCCTCCTGATGTCGCTTCAAGTGGACTTTAAGAAGGTGATGAATCAAGCCTACAACAATTTGAAACCCGGAGGCGTCCTCGAATTTCAAGAGTATGGGTTCCCACCTTCCTATAATGAAGGCCAGGACCCGAATGCTGCGACCAGATACTTCTTTGATTCTCTCGTGAAAGGCATTGGGCTTCTGGGACAAAACTGGGCGAAACCTGCCGAGTTCGATGTTCTGATGAAACAGCAAGGGTTTGTGGACGTCCATGTCCAGCGCCTGAAGCTGCCAATGGGATGTACCTCCGACGACTTGAACGAGAACGAATCCAGCAAGATCTATGTAGGAGAGGTTCTTCCTCGTCATAGGTCGATGTGGAAGATGGTTCTCAGTAAGACTCTTGGCTGGTCCGAGGAGGCCATTGTCAAAGCTATAGACGCAATGTTGCAAGAGATACAGACGGGAAAGTTCCAAATGTTTATTGATTATAAGATAGTCTACGGCAGAAAGCCCGAGTAGATTCTGACTATCGCGACAATTGAGACAGGGCGTGTCTTCCACATCGAGATGTCTCAACAGGTGCGTCAAAACGACAATCAATTGCTACATGTGTCAAAATATCAAAATATACGCAATAGCGCGTATTATATTCAAATGGCGTTTTTCAGAAGTCTACTCGGCTGGGTACGATCACAACTACATCAAACGGCTTCAAATTAGGCTATAGATGTGAGCTAATCATAAAATAGAGATAGATTGGGAGATATATAGACCAGAGGTATGTTATCTATGCGATGGGTCCATAGAAGCTGAATCTGCTCAATGGGTCGTACTTCGTTTTCAAAGCGTGGAGGCGCTCCTGTCGACATTGTTCACTCCCGTACCATTCCGTCGGAGCCTCGTCTCCATAAGCGTAGTTCACATACACATGACGTTTATTTCGACCACTTCCATCATAGAGGATCTGACGGAGCTGGCTTCCGAGCTTATAAGCGGCCGTCTCATGTTCTTACCCGGATCGGGTATATGTGATGAGGGGAGCAATCAAATGATTGTCTGCTCGGTAAGAAAAGGGGGTGGCATCGTTGTTGAATGCTTGCACGTCATGCATGGAATACCCCTCAAACATGAAGAGGGAGCCGTTGAATGCTGAATCGCCGTGAGTAGCAGATGCAAAGAGATCGTATACTTGCCGCTGGGCAGTAGTGTAACGGGCCCTGGGATACTATTGACCAGCCGTCAGAAGGATATAATGATAAAGTATAAAGTTAGCGCCATTGAGTTGATCCCCACACCACTACATCGACAAGCTCGCCGAGTTAGGTCTGTTTAACGTGGACGAGTAAGATTCCTTGGAAGAGTGTTATGACTATTGCACACAAGCTATCGAGGTGGCGAGACTGACACTGAAATTGTACTTAGGATACACGCAGCTGTCCGTTAATACTCTGGAAGGCCGATCTCAATCAGTATGGTTGCTATATTCAGTGACTCTTTTGGCCTATCATGGAACAGTATAGGGGAAGGAACACGTGAAAGCGGTCCCTAACTGATAGTGACTCTCTCGCCGTGACCAACCGGAATCATCAGGGTTCTATGTACACCGCCACCTCTAGGGCTACACTCTACGGAGGCGCTAAGGCAGCTATCAACATTCGTCGTCTAGCCGGTAGGACAGGCTCTCAGCAGGATGTCTTCCCAGCGTAGATGGCCAACGCGATATCGGAGCCCAGGGTGGCCGTGAACTGGCCGCTTGAGTCCACCGTCACGTACGTGTTGCTCTGCACGTTGCAGTACGTGCCCGCGGGCAGCGAAGTCTGGTACGTCCGGGTCACCGAGCCCGACTCGTGGTTGATGGCCACGTACCCCTTGTCGCCCCTTCCGAAGCCGATGGCATTGTTGCCGTTGTCCCACCAGTCCGTCAACCCCTGGCCGCGGACGGCGTTGCGGAAGGCGACCATTCGCAGGATCTCCGGCCACGCGTGCTGGCACTTCCAGCCGTCCTGCCAGCAGGCGCTGACGGCGCCGTTGTTCGGCGGGCCGGCGTCCGTGTCGGAGAACTCGTAGCCGGAGTGAATGTCAGTGGCTCCATAGGGATACGCGAGCATGAAGACGTTGGCCAGGGTGTACTTTGCGTTATCTTTATAGTTGAGAGTGGCACCGTTGCGCTCGGTGTCGTGGTTGTCGACGAAAACGGCGGCGACGGAGTTGCCCAGGTACCCCCAGCCCTCCCCGTAGTTCTTGAGATAGGCAAGTTTCTCGCTGTTGAGGACGCGCTTGAGGTCGTAGGCGTAGCGGAACTCCTGGACGTCGCCGTTACCGGTGTATTCCGTGGGCTGGACGGCTTCCCCCGAGCCGTAGATGACCTCCTGTTTCCAGTATGTAGACGGGTTGGTCAGGCGGGACTTGATATTAGCAAGGTCTTCAGTTGCCATGTGCTTGGCGGCATCGATGCGGAAGCCGTCGACGCCGAGACTAAGCAGGTCGTTTAAGTAGCCGGAGATGGCCTTGCGGGGGTACTCCTCCGGCGTGTCCAGGTCGGCCAGGCCGACAAGCTCGCAGTGCTGGACGTTCCACCTGTCACCGTAATTGTTGATGTCGGAAGTGCAGTCGTCGAAGTCGTAGGAGGAGTAGAGACCCGGGTAGTTATACTTGGTGTACGACGAGCCGCCGGTGCCGGTGCCACTGCCGGACGACATGTGGTTGATGACGGCGTCGGCAATGACCTTGACACCGGCTCCGTGGCACGTGTTGACCATGTTGACAAACGACGCCCGGTTGCCGAGACGGCCGGCAATCTGGTAGGACACGGGCTGGTACGAGGTCCACCACTGCGAGCCCTGAATGTGCTCGGCGGGCGGAGAGACCTGGACATATCCGTAGCCGGCTGGGCCGAGGGTCTGGGTGCACTCCCTGGCGACGGAGTCGAAGTTCCACTCGAACAGGACAGCCGTGACGTCCTTGGTGCCAGGCGGGGCGGCATGCACGACAGGAGGGGCCATGGCCGTGAGGCCAGCGGCGATCAGCGCTACGACCGCATTGAGGCCGGCCGTGATCGTGCGTGGCATGATAGAGATTTCGAAGGCTGCGCGCGCGAAATCTTTTATACCTTAGCAATCACCCCAAGGACGTGGGCGTGTGTGTTCTTAGAGAAGACACGAGTCAAAGGGACAGGACGACTCTGGTGGCGGTGGCAGTGTTGAGCGTTGAGCGTTGTACGACGAAGATGAGTGAGACGGCATGTTATCTGCTGTTGTACGGACGGGTATTTGATTATATTCGTTCGAACGAGACATCTGTTCACGAACATGCTACTCATCGCCTTAGGCAGTCAGTCGGACCGTTATCCATCTAGTCGGTCCTTTGTCAACACTCTTCGTCGACGAGCATCTCCACACGTTGCAGCAACTAACCTGGCCTCGACCAGGTGGTGCACCTAGTTGAACTACCTACCACCTGGGGTTGCAGCGGGTGTGCCCCCCTGACTTCCAGTGGGTCCAGCGTCCGTCAACCCCGCCCCCGCAGGGCAGACCTGCCAATTGCCAGTCAGTCTCAGCCCCCGCGCCCCCGCAAATGGAACGGTTTTGTGCAGCACCAGTCCCAGGCAAAAGGATCTTGTGAGCTCCAAGACGCAGAATCACCGAATCCCGGGCCGAGATATCGAGCCATTTCTAGATTTGAGACTTAGTTCTCGATCGATTCATCGAGGCTGAAATGAACGCCTCAATGAAGTGTCACAACCTGTAAAGAGAGACATGCAAAGAGATCACGTTACGTGAATGTGATGTTCATGAGCGAGCCTCTCTGTTTGTCCTGTAAAGACTGCATGGAGCCATAACATAGCTTAGAATGGATGCAGATTTCGCTACTAGTTGCTCAAGGAAGTCCTAAGCTGATAAAAGCCAGAAACTCATCCTGCAAAGATATAGTATGAAGTGTAAAGTAATGTGTTGTAAGGGAGTAGCTTAGGTGTGGCCTAGGTATTACCAAGATGTAGGCCATCCATGGATTCCCCAGTGCCCCACACTCTGCCCAGGTGATGTTTGGTGTTAAGTATCTTGGCAAGAGAACTAACTGCCTACCTACGTCTTCCCTCCTGCATCGTGGGAACTGCAAGGCCGGCCTACTCCGACAGCAACTCCGCCCTGCGCAAGGATGTGTGGCCACGTGCGTAGAGACGGGATCTTGATGGACTGCTCCTGGGGATGCGAGACCATCAACTCACATGATAGCTATTTCTCGCTGCTGTGATCACAGTCTTCTCAGCATGTCGGCCTTTCCACAAATATTGGCAGATCAATCCTGGTCCTGAAAGTAAGCTTTACGTTCTGTTCTCACGTTCGATGCTCTGATTAGAAAATAATTCTTGCTAGATTGAAAAGTCCTATGTCTGACGATATCTCCTATTTCCACAGATCGGTAGTATATCATAGTATTATAATTTTGATTTGTCTACAAGTGTCGAGAGATTTAATGGGTCATGGTCATCATGATTCCATCCAGGCATGTCAGCGAGATCTTTTGCAGGTGCACTTCGCCTTGACTTCAACGCATCACCTCCGGGCCGCCATCTCCATGCATGCGTCAGGTCTTCGGCCAAATTGCCCTCGATCAATTCAACAACATGTTTACCGATGTTTGGAAGTAGCTTGAAGCTATGTCTGCAAGATATTAGCCAACCGTACATCGTAGTTTGTTCAATAGTATGTACTCACCCGCTATCGCCCGTGGCGAGAATGAAGTTTCTCCACTTCGGATGCTCGCAGACGAGCAACGCTGCGTCGGCAGTATCTGTGCACCAACATAATGAGCGATTGAAGAGCTCTTTATTCTTAAACCGCGGAAGAAAAGTTGATATGGCCTTGCCAATGCTGGCCTCAGACGCGTCAGGATAAGTGTCGGTCGGGTGCTTGGCATGAGACCTTGGGACAGAAATACGCTTAGGCGCGTCAGCTCCATAGGGCTGATGCTTCTTGAATCGAGTGAAGCCTGGGAACTCGTCACAAACTTTGACGACATTGTGTCTACGCAAAATTAGTCTGCCTGCTGAGACAAGGATTGGTAAGTGAAATATGATTTACTCGTTGGGTTCAAAAAAGAAGCCGTAGTTCCCGTTGTACACTACAGGTGTATCTTTGAAATCTGCCGCTTCTTCAGGAGTCAACTGCATGTGAGCGTAGACCCAAGCCTATGCATTGCCATTAGCACAAACGCAAACAGTTCTGGAAGTAGAGAAACGCACTTTCGAACAGCACTGGTCATCCAAGTCTACCAATGCCGGGCTCCATGCACCTGCGGCCAGAACAACCTTGTCACCGTAGTACTTGGACCCATCAACAGTTTCGACGCCGATGCATGTCTTGCCATCGTCTGCAAACAGAGGCTTTTTAAAAGACCCAGCACTGAGTACCATTTTGTTAGTCTACTGCCATTGCTCGGCCGACGGGGCCATTAGTAGTCGCCTCACCTGCCAAAGCCGAACTCGACCCCTTTATCTCTCAATACCTCACCTATAGCGTTGATGGCCTTCCCCGCAGCCAACCACCCTCCATCTTTACTAAATATGGCTTTCCACCCCTGTCGAACATTTGAACTTTAGCTGAGCCACTGCGTTGTGTGGAAGCATCTGCTTTCACCTTGATTTGGTCCCGCTCCAACAGTGGCATCTTCTCCAATATCGCGTTCTCGTTGTCGAGCCACTCATTCGTCTTCTCTAATCCAGCACCGGCATCGAGAAGGGCTTGAAACTGTCGTCGGAGGGATTTGATACCCTCTTCAGAGTTGTCACAGTCGAGCTAGTCAGCTTTAGCGTCGCGACCCTTATTTAGACGTAAAGTTAAGGCGCCATACCCTACCAGTGTTGTGGAAGAACGGACTGAACAAGTCATCGTTCCTCCACATGTCTCTTGCCTCCAAGCTCAACTGCAAATCGACCTTATTTCGTAGCCGGATGCCCATTATCTTGTTTAGATCGTACCCGGCCGACTGGGCCGAAGGGATTGGGTAGGTGTCCAAAACAGTGATGTTCGAGGGAGTGTAGCCCGAACGGAGGAGGTGCAGGGCGGTCGAGGAACCGATCGTGCCCCCTCCGCCGACAACGATGACTTTCGTGGTTGCGCGTGAAGCAGTCATCTTGTCCGGTGCATTTACATCGTACTCTATGAACTCGAGAAAAGTCTACGTGTGATGTGGCGGTTATAAAACCGACGACGGAGAGCGTGGGAAGAAAGCCGCCCCCTGGTCGTGCAAGTCGTACGATATAGCCTCGTCTTCCCCAGGACGTCACGAAGTCGGCGTCTGAATCCGTGACGTAAGATAATCGTTTACGACACGATAGCGTCTAGGAGAACCACGGCTTGTGACGGCCCGCAATCCAAGAGTCCGATGCAGGAGATTGTTATTCTCACCAAGCAATGGCGCGGGTCGCATGCACTAAGCCAGAGATCTTAGCCGGCAACTCATGCGCCTAAGACCATGCGATCACGACAGCCGTAATCTGAGCTTGCAATAGCGGTAGCGCAACGTTCCAAAAGTTTGCTGCGTACAGTACCCGAAGAGATCAACAACCGTTGAGATCTAACCGGTACCGGCCGAAGAGCTGAGCGGGTGGGTATCTGGGAGGAGCAAAGATCGGGGCAAATTCGTTAGCGGCCGGACTAAGCTTGCCCAAAACTGGAAGGATTTGGAGTTTGGCGTGTAATTGTGCATGAAATCTCAGAACGTTGCAGTCGAGACCCACCACGATATGAATCCCCCACTCTTCAACTTCAGATGTTGGCTGGGTGGGTTCTCTCCACCGATAGATAGGAGAAGGGTCATTACCAAAGCAGGAAGAATTTCCGTTAAGTAATAGTAGTCTGCGATGTGTGTATCTCTGGAGTCTGGGGTAAGCTGAACAAGCCTCGTGAGATCTCCTACAAGTAGCCATGCACAACACCTGCTTCCATTAGATCCGTTTCCTCAAGTTCTCGTTCACCAATTCGCAGTTTCCGTTTCTTGATCATCGTCTGTGTAGCGATAACTCACCATATCAATCTCTTGACATGTCCAAATTTGATGCTGCACCCCCAAATACCCATGCGGGCGGTGACGATGATGCTCTACGAACTCATGGCACATTACCCATGAACAACCCACCAGCCGTGGCCGATGAGAGGGTAAACATGGCGGTGTATAGGCAGGATATCCCGCGCTGGAAAAGAATATATCAGAACAGTCTGACCCAGATGCTCCTGCTAAGTGTCCAAGGCTTCTGCGGCCCAGCCATGGCGGACGCGATCGCAGGTAAGTTTAGTGCCGACAGACCATCCATCTTCAGCAATACAGACACGAGTTGACACTGTGAAGGTCTCGGTGGTGGTGGTCTGGCAACTCCTCAGACATCAAACATAGCGTGCGTTACAAATCTGCGGCTCTGCAGCTCTCGTGACCAGAATCGACTAACAAAAGATTATTCCAGTGTTGCGGTGAACTATGCTTGTCTCGCAATCGGTATGTGCAAGGTCCTGTGCAACGTTCTTCCGATGATGAGAATTAACGGCTTCATAGTTTGTCTAATTGGCGGCCCTATTGTCAACAAGCTCGGGACAAAATGGTCTTTAGTCATTGGAGCCATGTCATTTCCCATCCGTGGCTCGTCCTACTACTGCAACAGTCAATTTGGAACACAATGGGTGAGCAATAACCGCGAAGAGATACCTGATTATGGATTGAACTCAACTCTGCACCATGGATCACTAACACTTGCCTTCTATCAGTATCTCATCCTTGGTGGTTTCTTCACCGGTATCGGTACCGGTTGTTGGTATGTCGCAGAGAGTGGTTCTATCATGTCACTTGCTCCATCTGGTTCTCGTGGAAAGTACCTGGCTTTGTGGATTGTCTCGCGCAATCTTGGACAGCTAGTTGGAGGTGCTATCAAGTAAGCCCTTTCTTCATAACACTCTATTCGAAGAATATACTGACATTTGCGTGTCTAAAAGTTTATCGAAAAATCATGTCAAGGGTGCCGTTGGCGGAGTTACGCCAGACACCTATATTGCATTTTTGATTATCGAATGTCTAGCGTAAGTTTAGATCGCATGTGATACCTTTGGCAACTGCTGACAGTTCCAGCTTGCCATTTGCGCTGCTCATCTCCCCCCTAGAACGGGTCGTACGTTCCGACGGGACCCGGATTCTCGTCTCGGAGAAGCTCAGGACCAAGGAAGAGTTCAAACTCATCAAGTCCACCATGTTCTCCAAACTCATTGTGCTTTCAGCTCTCTGGGCCGTCTGGTCGTTCTTCTACAGGTGTGCAAATTTCCTGATTTTGGTGACTCTCAAAGCTCGGCGAATGACTAATATTCGACGCAGCGGCACTTGGTCCACGTACCTGGGCACCTATTTCTCGGTTCGTGCGCGCGCCCTCTCTTCTCTGATTTCGCCATTTTTCTGCATGTAAGTAATCTGAGTCCACCTTGTAAGCACCATATTAACAAAGACTAGTGTTGGATGCTTCGGCCTTGGATTCATCCTTGATCTGAAAGGGGTTGGTCAGCGCCGCAGGGCCCAGCTCGGCCTGTATACCGTTGTCATCCTGAATTTGGGCGTCTACATCTGGTCCATCATTATGCAAGTGAAGTTCAACAAGACAAATCCAGGCAAGATTGACTGGGAAGACTCGCTCTATGCCTCCAGCTTCCTCCCGTACTTCTTTGTTCAGACTACCGGTCCCTTGTCGCAGTCGTACATGTACTGGCTTCTGTCGTCCTTTGCGACTGATGCACAGTGTAAGTGTTAACGGCGTGGAGTAAAGAGATGTCATATTCTAACGTGAAACTAGCAAACGTCCGTAACGGAGCCGCCTTCAGGTGTCTCGAAGCTGTTGGTCAAGCCATCTCTTATGGCATGAACACCCAGATCAAAACCAGCCCATTAATTGGATTGTAAGTTTTCTCAAGCCTCCTTACCCTCTGCCGTTGTTAACTGGATTATCTAGCTCCGTTACTTTCGGTCTTATGGCACTTGCATTCGGACCCATGCTCGTCCTAGTCAACATGACCCCGGAGCGGATCCCAGCCGATGTCATTCTGGAGGGACAGGAGGCTGAAGACAGGAAGATCGCCGAGCCCAAGGCCGGGGAAGCGTAGAAAGGGAAGCGGACCAGACTAAGAGGTTAGAATCAAGCTCACTTACGAAAGCTCACAGGATTAGGTGCCAATCCAAAACATAGGGTAGAGCATCAAATACTCTTTTGACTTACGTAGGTAATGTATATTACCAAGTTCGGTCCAGTCACAGATAGGTATAGCGAAAATCAACAAAGGATCAGTCGAAATATAGACTTATAGTGCTGTCAAGATGCCACTTTGTGTCCCTCGACCCCTCACCACGGCCGGTGACGTGATAGTGAACGGCGGTTTTGAATGCAACGAACTAAGCCCCTGGAGCTTTCAGCATGTTGGAGCGACACCGAGGTCATCGTGTCGCCGGGCTTGAATAGCAACTATCTGCTCAGGGTCGAGAACAGCTGGTACTGAGGTGACGGACGGAACAAGCCGGGTGCTATCGTGTCCCAGACTCTTAACACAGTTGCAGGAACAAGGTATCGGATCAGTTTCGACCTGTATATCAATGGTGGTACTGGCAATTACTGGAGCGTCCTCGTTAATGACGGGCAGCCAATGGCATCAGGAGATCGTGGGTTCGATGCGACATCTTTCGGGGGGGCATTCCAAGCTTCGGGTTCGGATACGCTGAAAATGAAGATATCGACGGATCAATGGGCATCTGCGTATTACGACTTTGACAACTTGGTTGTTTCGCCCGTTGGCTCCCAAGACGCCCCTTCTTAGAAGTTGGGTGCCTAATGGTCGAGATCTAGGTTAGCACTTAGTCGTGTAAAAGGATCCTTCAGAAATCCTAACAGATTTACGTATGATGCAAATCGTATCAAATACAATGACTTTGCGGATATTAACGATGGGTCCTTAAATCCGCCCGAAACCTGTTTATATAGAGAGAGGCTTTGTTACGCATCTGTGCCCCTTTAAGGGGTGGCGAGAGCGTATTCTTATCCGTGGAACTCCGTGCAGTTTGAGATTCAGTTCGACCAATCAAATACGTACATTTTCCCGGATTCTGCGGCGTACACAGTTCAGCCCCACAAGGTGCTTTCAGGTGGCTTTTTAGCACGGATGCATTCCAAGTTGGCCTGGGAAAAACACGACTCATGATAAGACTACAGCGCCTGGGGGCAGCAATTTCGGAAGCTCAAGCTCTTGAACAGTTACAATTCCAGGTCCTTGACAAGCGGGAATCTCCCCGGACATCACAAAATGACCGAGGGGATGGAAGTTGCACCACATGCTCGCAGACGGAAAGGTAAGAAGAGCCATTTGGGGTGATAGTGAAAGCACAGTCGATCGAGAAAGTTGCTAAGTGAAACTATTACATCAAGCCTGCGACCTGTGCGTCACAAAGAGAATCAAATGCGATGCCTTAAAGCCTATATGTTCTAACTGTGTCCTTTACGGAGTGGATTGCAAGATCACATCCACGAACAAAGCAGCCGCCGCGTCGCGAGCTAAAGCGATTGAAGCACGGCGGAGCACGCAGTCAGAAGAGTAAGAATGGGCCGCAGAAGACTCTTCGCCATTTCAAGAGCTAATGCTTCCACAGACCAGCTCGGATAGCCGCGGTAGAAGCCCGATTGTCCGGGGTAGAAGCGAGGCTGCAAGATCTCGAGTATCAACCAATTGCCCAGCTTGCTGACCTGGCAAGCACAAGCTTGGATGCAACTCATATGCATCCAAGCCTCGGTGCTTCGGATTATGAAGGGTCCATAGGGCTTAGCAACTCCACGGAGCCGCTCTTTTTTGGAAGTCTTTATGACCAAGGTCCAGCAGAAATCGTGGTTCAGACGCAGCAGTTGCAGCTGCCGCCTTTGGCGGAAATATCGCCAACGATTGACAGTTATTTCGAATTTATCAATGCCATAATACCACTCTTCCACGAGCCGTCATTCAAGCGCATGCTTTACTACTGGTACTCGCCGTCCTCGCAACGTCCGGAAGCGGATTGGGCTGCAATCAACATCGTTTTAGCGCTGGCGTATCGCATATTACAAGATCTGCCCATGGAGCATGGAAAAGTGGCGCAGTGTGTCCGTAACGTTCAACATGTCATGACGAACTTGTTACTACGAAATGATGACCTCCTGGGGCTGCAGGTGCTTCTAGGAATGGTGATGCTTTATCAAGGAGCCAAAGATTCACGACTTGCTAATGTGCTGATCGGGTCCGCGGTGCGGCTTGCGCATAGTATGCGCTTGAACAGAAAGATACCAGGCGATTCCTTGTATCCAGAGCTAGCACAACAAAGAAATAGGGTATTCTGGATTGCATACTGTCTTGATAAGGTGAGTCACCTAATATAATGCGTTCTAAATTCCTGACTGATGTTTGAAAGAGTATATCACTTCGCTGGGGCATTCCCAGCAGCCAGTCAGATGCTGATATTCATCTTGAACTTCCCCCGTCAAATCCCCACGACGGCTTTGGTCAAGTCTGCACGCTCGATGGCACATTGGCATTTAATTATCACCGTGCTCGTGTTCAGTTGGCACACATTCAAGGTCAGGTTTACGAAGCTTTTGGTACCTCTGGGTCTAGCGATATGCCACCGGTTGCAAGAACCGCTGCCACTGAGAGGCTCAACACCATGCTTGACAATTGGCAGCGTTCAATACCACCCCAATTTCGGGTTGAGGTAATTGTGGAATCCATGGCCTGCAGTCATTTACTTCACATGGCATCCCTTCATCTTATGCACCTAGAGTGTTGGCTTATCGTCCACGGTATCTATCCAGCCGATTCGGACTGCATTGTACGCATTCAGACATATAGCCGTGCGAGACTCAATGTTCAGGCGGCATCAACGCCACAGCCATCGCAGTCTGAGACTTGGAACAAATGTGTTGAACTTAGCAGGGTATGCCTAAAGTTAGCCGTCATTGCTGACGTGTCAGAATTCTCTATGTGGTAAGTATTTCATCACCTTACAGAGAACTTATGTGGCTCAGCGCACTAAACCCAAGAATTAGGATTCATGTATATCCATGGATGTCCTGTTTGATCATCCTCCTTGGGCAAATGATCATGGTCCCGGATCATACACTTGTCAAGGAAGATCGGCTGCTCACCACGGGTGGCATGGAATTGCTTAGCAGGAAAATGAATCCAGAAACACAACATGAACACGATATATATGCTGCCATTTCACAACTTCATCAGCAGGCACTAGAGGCAATAGACCCTAAAGGACCAAGAAATTCGGTCGCGATCTTGGCTTCGATTACTATAGACAATCCCCCTGTGCCGGACACGTTAGAAAATTGGTCCATTTTTGCCTCTTCTCGACCTGAAACGGAAACAGTAAGTTCTTTTTCCCCACAAGACGAAGCGGCGGATTAAAGGTATCAGTAGCGTGTTGGAAGCTCGGCAGGTGCATCTGTTCCAAGTTCGTACGATACTGGGGCTAGTGCGGAGGGACGCAACTCTGACCGACAAAGTCGTTTATCCTCATGACTTGCAGCATTTGGGGGAGCGTATGGGGGTGGCAATCGCGACCGTCTAGACTTTCTGCGCATATAGAGGAACCACGCCAGGAAGCATGTCAGTATAACGCCGATCCCAGCCCCTATACCGATACCTGCAGCTGCCCCTGTGCTAAGCATCGATTCACGCAATTTGGCCGCACCACTAGAAATGTGACTCGTACTTCTCAACAATTCGGAGCTCGAGCTTGTGAAGTCTGTGGAGCCCGTTGGGTTTATTGAAGCCTTCGTACTCAACGTTGGGCCATATGTCATTGTTTGGTCTGGTGTAGAGACTTGAAGCGCTGTTGTCGATTCTGGACTGAAACGCGCTGGACAGTCGTCGAGGGACTTGAGCTTCTTGTCTGTCAATTCTATAAGTACGTGGCATTGACACGCAGAATACCTTTCTCCAATCTACCTACAGGGCCTACGAATACCACAGCCAGAGCAAAGAGGTGGTTGTCTGTGTATACTGCCGCAATGCCTACAGTTTTCGTGTGAGATACAAAGTTGGTTGTCGTAACCGTCCACTCATCCGAAGAGCCATGTTGCGAGCTGTAATGAAACAAGGACTCACGAATTGACGAACTATGTGTTCCGACGCAACTGAAATTGTAGACTCTAAAAGAAATTTCCGAATTGAGTTCGTGTCCTATTTACTCGTCTCAAGAGTGAAGGCAAGTGTAACAGACATTAGACAGCAGGTTACCGCTTCAACTATGTCACCAGCTTGACAGGCTACAGTGTACTCTGGTGGACACTCAGTACCTGTGTATACACCGGCCGGTAGCCAAGTCGCAGGAAAATAATCAGTCGTTTGTGATGGCCCACCAAGGACGGTCCTTCTACCTAGTGGATTAGTGTTATCATCCCAGATCCAGATATCAGTCGGATTGAGATAGCCTGGGGCAGTAGGACTCCAGTCCGGAGACAAAGTTGGTGATGCCATTTGTCAACGTATCAATGTTCTGTGCGCCAAAAACGATATTCCTCATAACTAACCGTGAGAAAAAAATATAGCTTTAAGGCTTTTTGAAAAGAAAAGGGAATGCTGCAGGGGGTCATGCGAGAAGGGAGTGAATTGGTGGGCTGAAGTCGCGAACGATTCCATTTTAGGTTCAACCAGTACTTTTGTTCCTGCAATGGCCTGGGCGTTTTGCAATCACAGCGGTCTAGGAGCCCGAAATGGACTACCGTGTTATTGCCTACTTGTAGTCAGCCTAATGCATCATTGTTTCTGATATTGAGCCGATTGACTCTGCTACAAACCCATATCTAGAAGATGCCGGTCCATGTGATTGGTACAATAGGTCTGTCAACGTCTAGTATCAGCAATGAACGAGCACAAGTACAAGTATCGGCTTCCAACGAATTATTTAGGGAATTAATTGCACATTCTCTATCTTCTGAGAGTAAAAAATAAGTGAGATGGAGGCTCCTACAACTTTCGCTGACTCTGCGATGCCCGTGATAAAGATTTCGACTCAATTGGGAAGAGATTGTGTCGGGTAGATTGTTCCGCTGGTCAAAGCATTTGTGTTTAAGTATGGCTATTTATTGTTGCGTAGTGAACTGGCCGATGGTATGACCGTCGAGGTAACGCCCCCTTTCACTCGTAATCAGTCTACCTCCGCTGCAATCTCCTTGTGTAATCTTTCAAGATAGTTTCCTCTATGACATTTCCATCATCCTAAAATAGAATGAAGAGACAATGATTCCCGGAGGATTCCTGCTAGACGATCTCATCATTGTACAATAGTATTGGGCTACGGCGTGGTGTTTCTTGCCCACGGAATTCCGGGCGTTTTTCTGCCACACTGACTTCTCAATAGTAAATTAGCAAAACCCTTCATCAACCCATCTCCCAAGAGCTCTAATAAAAAGTTGTAATTATAGGAGTTCTTCATCTTTGCAATCATGGAAGGAACTATCATTGTGACTGGTGCTAATAGCTCTTTAGCACTCGAATACGTCGACCTTCTCTTGACTCATGCTCCCAAACAGACCTTGATCCTGACTGTGCGAAACCAATCTCCCGAGCCTGACCAGCATACTGCAAGACTCAAGAAGATCATATCATCTCACAATGAAGCTCGGGCATCTATTGAAGCACTCGATCTGGGCTCACTAAATGCCGTTCGATCATTTGCAGATGGGATCTCTCAACGCATTACAGGCGGCCAACTCCCACGCATCTCGGCAATAGTATGTAATGCCTTCTCGTGGTCGCTCAATGGCGTGAAATATACTGTCGATGGATACGAGGCTTCGTTTCAAGTCACTCATCTCGCCCATTATCTCCTGGTACTCAAGCTCTTGGGATCCATGGTGCTGGATGGACAGGTTATACTCCTCGGGTCGACCGCACAATATCCAGCGGATGAGAGACCCAATCCTATCGCCAAGCTATCAGCTGATTTTCCGGACAATATCGATACCCTCATCAAGCCAGAGCCAGACGTACCGGGAACAGAACATGCTAGGGGCTTCCAGCGGTATGGTACTGCGAAACTGGCGGTCGTCATATTCATGCATGACCTGAATAGGAGGCTCAAGGCCGTAAGAACGAATCCACCGTTGATACTACCGAAAGTAATACTAACCATAATAATTTCAGGATCCCAAGCTTTCCAACATTGCCGTGCGAACCATGGACCCAGGAGGTCTGACCGACTCTCGAGCCCACACAGAACAACGTGCACAATTGCGAATGGTACTTTCTGTTGTGAATTTCATGATGCCTGTCGTCAAAATGTTTACCAAGGGCGTGCGGAAGTCGGCTGATGCAGCGAAAGATCTTCTCGACATGACCATTGCGAAAGAGTTCAAGGGTAATCGGGGTTATTTCGAGGGACTGAGGCCAGCAGAGCCAGCCAAGGCTAGCTTCAATTTACAACATCAACAAGCTTTGTGGAAGGCATCTTGGACGTGGTCTGACCTAGAGGATGGAGAAACAAGTCTTACTGAGACAAGTTAGCTCTCAGGGGGTCGAATGTCACTTGGGGAGTGGCCAAAGATTCAGAGACACCTCTACAACTGTCTGTAGAGCTGGGAAATGAACCTCAGATTGGGGCCATTGCCATCTTTTATTAGTTTACTTATACACAATATCACCTGCTACCATGATCCGGGCGCTTAGTTCGAGACAACACTGAATACCTCGCATATTACTTCGAGCACAAGTACTCTATGCAACTATCATCTTGCCAACTGTGGAAATACTGGCTCAATTAATTTATTCAAAGGAATAGTTGCAAATACTCGATGTGTTTGATCTCCGCGAACATTACCAGACTGCATCTCTGTGTGTGACATCTGGGACACACTTACCCCACTCAGCGGCTTCGTTTACATGTCCGGAACTCCTCTTTACAGCCGATCTAGATAGTAGACGAGACTAGACGTATGATGTCTACAATATCCTCGGATTCCTTACCGCTAGTGGAGCGGACTAAAATTGGTGGTTCACTCGAGATCCCTCGGATGATCAATGGGCTATGGCAACTTGCCGGCGGGCACGACGCGGATGTTGATGTTGAGTCAGCCGCCAACGCCATAGGACCACTGTAAGGACATTCATTGAATATCTAAACTGCAACATACCAATCGCTACATAGGATTGATCATGGCCTATCCGCTTTCGACATGGCCGACCACTACGGCGACGCCGAGCTCGTGGTCGGGGCGCACATTACCGCCTCTGCCTCCGCACGACCCATCACGGCCTTCACCAAGTGGTGCCCAGCCGAGAACGGCATCAAGTCGCTCGCCAATGCCGAGGCAGCTGTCGACCGCGCCCTGGCCAGGATGAAGCAGTCGCAGATAGCGCTCATGCAGTATCACATCTGGGATTATAGCGACGACACATACCTGTGCAACCTGGCGCACTTGCGCACCTTGCAGGAGCAGGGTAAGATCCTGCATGTAGGATTGACGAACACGGATGCTGCTCACCTGGAGCTGCTTATCCACTCGGGGTATCGCATTGCTACGAATCAAGTGTCCTGCTCACTCCTCGACCAGAGGCTGGTCCAGGGACGGCTAGGTAAGTTGTGTGCAGAAAACAATGTGGGGATACTAGCGTATGGAACGCTGCTGGGCGGCTTCTTGAGCGAGAAGTGGGTGGATGCGCCGGAGCCTACGGAGATGAGCCCTCTCAATTGGAGTTTGCGGAAGTATCTGCGCTTTATACAAGCGGCGGGTGGATGGCAGGCTTTTCAGCATCTCTTGAAGGCTGCGGAAGCTGTAGCGAAGAAGCACAATGTCCCGATTTCCGCCGTTGCGACACGCTGGGTGCTTGATATCCCGGTAGTCAAGGCGGTGATTGTGGGCTCAAGACTCTCTTCAGACAGCGAGAAATATGCTAAGAGTAATCTCGCAACTTTCTCTTTCTCGCTCGATGACGAGGACAGGGACCTCATCTCAGAAGCACAGTCAGGATTGACGGACATCCCAGGAGATTGCGGCGACGAGTATCGCCAACCGCCATATCTGACGGCAGCGGGCGACTTGAGCGACCACATCAAGGAGACAGCCGAGCTGCGAAATGTCGAGCAAGCTATCGCTAAAGGACATCGAGTCGAGTACCGTTCTGGCAGCAAATGGGAGCCAATAGCAGGCTACTGCCGCGCAGTGCGAGTCGGCGACACTATCAGAGTGTCAGGAACGACAGCCAATCCGCCACCCGAGCTTCAATCCCAGCTCACAGTCATAGGAGGCACTTGCCCCCGTTGTCAAACTGTCGCGGTACTCGACATTATCGCGCGCGCACTGAAAAAGCTCGGCAGTAGCATGTCAGATGTTGTTCGTACCAGGGTCATGATATCACGAGAAGAGAATGTGCAAGGTGTCTCTGAGGCTCATGGATGGGCGTTCCAGTGTCACGGCATCCGACCATCAAATACGCTTACCTGTGCAGGTTTGATTGGAAGTGAAATGCTTGTTGAAATAGAGGCCGAGGCAGCCATTGGATGTGGGAAATCAGTCATGGTGTTAGATTGAAGATGGTAATCTTCTTGCCTTCAAGGAATTAACATGCTGATTGATGCAAGTTGCGGTTAGTCATTAATTACACAGACGAGGGAATGCATTGTCTAAAAGACATCTTTTCAGGGTTCAATTTTCTCATGTTCCCTCCCGAGTACCGTCAGGAATGTTGAACAGGTGGTGTCGTTCCATGAGACACTCTGGCTCATACAACCACATTCCAAACAAAAAATTCATTTCTCATCCACATGCATGATATAATTATAAACAGTCTTTCTTAGTATTTTTCAACAACGTTTGCTCCTACACACCGTGATCGCCAAAGCTTCCACTTTATTTCAACAGCCAGCCCGTCGTCGGGTATTTAAGTGTATATGTACGAGATTGAACCGAACGGAAGCGGCTGGTGTTGGCCAACCTGAAACCCCATCGAGGAATAGGACCGTGGTCCTCGACTTCATACCCAGCCAAGCGTCTCCAGGGTGCTCTTTGTTTCCAACCCACTGAGTCCTCCCACACCAAGCGCCCGTACTTGTGTTCCGCGCCTCAGCCTCTGCAGGCCGACGGCAACCTTCCAACTCTCCTCCTCGCCGATAACGAACAGGTATCTCTTACCCTCCTGGTCGCGTATAGTTGCGCGCAGGAGATGGAGTCCTTTAGCTTTCCAATCGCCAGTCTGTGATGTGGATGTCCTATTAGTACGACTGCTGCCGGTAGTGCTCTCGACATCGCCATCTAAATTCGCAAATGAGGAAGCGCAAAGGCCCAGACGACAGCAGTCTTTGCAGGCGCGCAGCATTTCAGTGAGGTACGCATCAGCGGCCTCGTTGGTGAGTTTCTTAGGCTCACTTCTTTCTGCTGCGCGGATGCGCGTGCCGCCCATCGCCCGGGCGAAAAAAGCAGTATTAATGTTGCTACTAAGGGTCGGTTTCGCACTGGGGGAGGAATTCGAAGCATTTGCAGAAGCCAAAAAGTGCGAGGGGCACCATACCTCAACGGCTTTCAGCGTCCAGGCTTTCACGTCCCACTCACGCTGAGGCACGTTGCGTACGTCGTCATCGATGAAGAGGCCTTCGGTCGTGATGCGAAGGATTAGGCCATCTGTCACCGAGCCGACGCCAGAGATGAGCTGTGATGCAGGTGTCTTGGCGTATTGGTTCATGAAGCTGTAGACCGCTTTTATGACAATCTTGTCAGGATCCTTGGTTGTATACGGGCCACGGACGGAAGGTGGCGGCGTCGTTCGTGCTGTCGACTGGGACGGAGCCCAGGATGATTCGGACAAGTCGGAGTTTGACTTTCGGTGAGTTGGTCGTTTCGGTTTGTCGTATGGTCGGAACGAGTAGGCGTCGTCGTCGGTACCTACAAATGTTCTTGCTGTCGGTGCTGGTGGTTTCTTGTTAGAGGAGGGATTTGGCGAAGTGCCTGGTTTAGCAGCACGAGGAGACGCTGCTTGTGGTGTTGCTGGTGGAGGCTTGCCGTTTGGCCAGGGATTTGTCTTCTCTCCGACTCCAGAGAAAGCATACGAGCTTCCCTTGCGGGCTTGACTCTCCACTTCCTCGCGTTGCTTGGCCTCTCTTTCCAATCGATCTCGCAACTCTTTCTCCTTTTGCTCCCGGTCTCTCCTGTCCCTCTCGCGCTGTTCCCTCTCTCGCGCCTCTCGAGTTTCTTTCTCCCTCTTCTCTCTAGTTTCCCGCTCTCTTGCTTCCCTTTCTTGGCGCTCCTTTTCCCGTTGCTCCCTCTCACGAGCTTCCTTTTCTCGCAGTTCACGAAGGCGTTGGGCCGCTGCCTCTTTGCGTTTTTGCTCCTCTTCCTTGGCTTTACGCTCTTCTTCCCTCTTCCGAGTTTCTTCTCGAGCTCTTTCCCATGAATTCTTTGGGGTCTCTGTCCTTGTGGTGCCGGGCTGTGGGGGTGGTCGCTGCTGCCAAGATGGCTTTGGCTTTTCAGTGCCTGGTGTTGGTCCTCCTGTTGAGTTCGGAGGTGGACCTGTATTTGGAGGAGGCTGTGGTGGAGGCGCTTGACTGGTGTGGGGGCCGGAGCCCATGTTGTTGAAGCCAGTGCCCGATGATGTGTGCCCACCACCTGCTGTTGAGCCCCCTCCTCCTGTTCCCGGTCCACCAGGCCCGTCTTGCTGTTGTCGGCCTAATGACCATGCTCCCAGGCCAACGGCGATGACCAACATCATCATTCCCATGTTGCCCATGCCTTGGAAGTTAGCCCACCATGCCTGAAAAGCAGGAGCCATGCTCTGAAACATCACCACCAGGACTAGGGCGCTGGCAAAGCCGGCGACGAAGCTGTTGGTGTTTGTTCGGAGCGAGGGCAGGTAGAGGAAGCCGGATCCTGCGGAGTGCTCGGGTATGATGAAGACATCATACTTGCCGGGAGGCAGGCCAGTTGTCTTGGGCGACTCGCCGTGCGGCGGCGGCGGCGGAGGAGGGCCGCTCATGCTGGTGAAGGCTCCTCAGAACTGTTTGGCTGGCGGAGGCTTGACTGACGATGCTCTGTGTTTGCCGGGGTAATCTTACGCTCGGCTCAGTGGCGGAAGAGACTCTGAAATCATGAAAGAAAGGAAATCTAATGGTATCTCGGAAAGGCCATGGAAGAAGGTCGTCAAGTCGTTAAGAAACCTTGGTGGTACTGGTTAGCGACAGCTCTATGACAGGACATGATTATATCGAACACAAAGAGCAAAGTTTATTCGTCCAAACAAGACAGCTCTCCATTCCTAGGCCATGATCCCGCTAGAGGAGGTGGAGGGTGAGAATCGCAACTGACTTACCAAAGAAACAGGAAGAGAAAGCAGCAAGCGAACGCCGGGCCCAATGCAGAACAGAAAAGCGGAGAGAAAAGGAAAGCAAGACGAAGGAGGAAAGAGAGGGTGACTCCAATTGCCTGTCGTTCTCCTTTGGCTTATCTATCCAACTGCAACTTGCTCCGAGAAGGGGGGTATCGATCTCTGTGGACTGAACTGCAACTGCAAGCCAAGTCAAGCGAAACAAAACAAAACGCAAAGATCGCGAAAGATCGTGTCGTCGTGTTCTAGTGGAGCTTGTGTGAGGAAGACGACGACATAGGCGGAGGAGCAGTGTGAGAGAGTTTTAATCAGACTGGCCGATGCAAAAAAAGTGGTGGTCAGCCAAGCAACCCTGGCTGGCTGGCTGGCTGGCTGGCTGTGCTGCTGCTGCTGTATGCTGTCAATGATGGAGAGGCGGACAGGGGGTCTGTTTACTTTGGGTAACTTTTTTTATGGGTGCAGAGCTGTTTGGGTGGGTGGGAGCAACGAACGGTGCTGCAGGAGCTCCCCACCAACTAATTCTCACTTACCCGGTGGACTCCAAGGGCGGGCTTGGGTTGCTTCGGCTGCAGGTCTCTCGGTTCGTTCCCCGCACACACACACTCACACAACAAATTGACTTGCCGATTGACGACCTGTCAAGTTCTGCTGGAACAAACGACATCTCACTGTTCGTCTCAAATCGTCGATGTTCAAGGACTGTGGCCATCTCATTCGCTATTGCAGCTGCTTAGGCTCTTCGAAGAGTCTCCTAACAAGGTCCTGGTAGCCTGCAGTATTGGGCACAAAGGGACGAAATGAGGCCAATTGACGCCGTTTCTTCAGGAGATGATGCTAAGGAATCAGTTTGGTGTGGCTTGTGAGGGAATATCCCTGCTGCTTTCGAGGGTAACCTCTGACGCCAGAATCACTTCTGAACCCTGACAGCGATGACACCCATAAGATCGCCAATTGTTCTTTCTAGGCTCGCTAGGCTTATTATTAACGCCTCTCTCGGCTCGAACATCCCAATGAATCTCTAACCGCCACTCTCGCCCATCACCGTCACGGCTGCTGCTCTGATCGTCGGATCGTCTACGGTATCAAGTTTTCACCCTCCGCCTTTTCGCCTCCTGCACTTCCGCCTGCACGCTGCGAGTCGCGTCTCCACCGTCAAAGCTCCTGCGCAGTAGGCGCATGCAAGAGCTCCTCCATACAAACGAAGAGCTGCCGCCCAACAGCGAATTGACGCCGTTGTCGGTCAAAACACGAGGGCAAACGAGCCTGCACCAGCGACGCAGCTTTCTGGAGCTCCGGACGGTCCTCGCAGCATCGTGAAGGCGTCCAATGCCACGAAATTACTCAATCTCCTCGCTGTGACAGGCTGTCCCCAAGCCCTTGCTCAGCATCCTGGCCCACCCACCCTAGGAGGCTCGCAGCGAATCGCGGAGTGACAGAAAGCTCCCGCGAGCGCCAGCAAATCGGTGTGGGGGGTCCTGGGCTCACTGGCTGGCAATGACCTCGTTGTGGCTGTCACTGAATGTGCCCTATTGCTGCTGCTGTAACCATTCTCTAACTAATTTGCGTTTGGCCACACGTTCTGTCATCTCCTGAGGGGTAGCATTCGCAACTGTCATCCATCCATCGCCAGCCAGATGGCCTTTTTCCGTTGCTGCAGGTGCAGCAAAAACGAGTGTCACAGAGTGTGGTCTGTTTACTGGTCCTCGTGCCAATACTGAAATAATCCATGTGGCCATAATCAAATGGAAAAGGAACAGAAGGCTTCTATTGCATCCACTAACGGCCTAACCAGGACTCAGCGGATGCACCGGATTGGGCAGGATCGACCCACCCTCCACGTTGAGGTTGCCTAGCAACGACCAGGACCAGCGGGTCGTCCCTTCCATCCGCTGCTGGCAGCCTGCATTGGCTGTCGGGTGACGTAGCGTCCCTTTAAAGTGCCTCTACGCACTTGGAACTCCCAAGCGCCCCGCGGGGCTCGTCACTCGTCGCTGCAGGTCGCTCATCCGGCTGCCTGTCGCAGCCACGCGCCATGCAAACGAACGTGACCCGATGAATAGCACGTTGCATTGTCACGGATCCCGATCTATCCCCCTTGAGGCAAACGGTGGTATCTGAGATGAGGAGAACACACGGAGCTCTTTGTCCTTTGACATCTCAATTCATCTTCCATTTCTTCGTCAAATTCCTTCTTCGCCAAGGGCGAATCTGTATGTCACAAGAATAGAATGTGACGGCGCACAGACCTAATAGCAAGGACTCGCTATTAAGAAACACTTCGCAGCCTGCAGCCTGGATCGGTCCGTTCTGTCATCCCAACAGCTGGGAAGCCCCTGGGCCTGGATGAAGGGTCCCTTCGAAGCCTGAATGAAAGAAACCGCAACTTTCCCGCTGTCAATGTGGTTGTGGCAGAGTACCTACCTTAGGTAGGTACCATCGGCTTCGTGAGGCATGCCTTGCAGTATCCTTAAATTGTATTTTCAGCTGAAGATATTGATCCGAAAACCCATCGAATTGAACCCTTTGCTTGCTATGCTACCAATAATCTCAAACGACCAAAAGATAATCCGTAGATTATTTGTACAATCTTCTTCACATATATGCCCCTCCGAATGGATGCTTCGTCTTTTCATCTTGGTGGCCGGAGTAGATACATTGCTATCTCCGTGATCCACGCCAGAGCCGCCCATGTCTTTCCAAGAAGCCACTGCAAAAGCATGATCCTCTCAGCCGTCAGCAGGATGGCTCTCACGACCATCTCCATGGTGTAACGCACAACGCTTCTCACTGAATCCAAAGCCGCATCATCTCCAGCCCAGACACGTCAGCCCAGTCGCCGAGTGCGGTCCTTGGCGACCTTGACCTTGCCTGATACGCGGTCCACGTCCGCGTTCATCTGGTCGAGCATCTCGGTCTGGCGATCGACCTCTTCTTTGATCGCAAGGCCCATCTCCTTTTGTCGTCGGACGATCCTCGTCAGAGCTTCCACGTCCTGGTCTTGCTCCTCCATCTGTTGCCTTTGTAGTTGTAGCACGCCGTCATTGCCGAGCTCCCGAGTCCGCTCCGTCTCCGCCAGCGGTGCTCCGAGGACACGGCCGCCCGCCCTCGGCCCTGATGAGGATCCGCCGGCGAGCAAGGCCGACTTGTCTCCCGCATTGGGCATGCCTTCCCTTGCACTTGCCCCGCGTGTGCTAGCCAAGCTGGCAGAGAGTTTCTCGAGACCATCCCGCTCAGACCTCGCCGCCGATATCAGATCTCTCCTCCTCCGTAGCTCGCCTTCGCCCACTCTCTTCGACTCGCTCATTGCCCGTAGCCCCTCGTTAAGGGAAGGCAGTAGACTCCCAGCCTTGACCAAAGCTCTCTTGGCCGCCGCGCCCGCTTCTAACGCAGCGCTGTTGCCCTTGCCTTGTCCATTCTCCAGTGCCGCGTCTCGTCGTGCAAGACACAGCCGCGCCTCATGTAACGCCGCCTTGAGCTCGCGGTGCAAGTCGAGCCACGTGCCCGGGTCCGCCGCAGCAGCCGTGTTGGCTCCCGGCAGTCCAATCGCCGGCACCCTGCCGTCAATGCCGATCCCGCTCGCGCTCGCCGCCGAGTTGGTCGTGCTGCTGCTCGGGAGGTTCAGGAAGGCCCGCCAGGCGGGCGTGTCGCGCCACCTGCGGTCGGGGCTCTCGGCGATGGCGCGCAGGTACTTCTCCAGCCCGAGGCGGCGGTCCTCGGTCAGCTCGGGCGACGAGATGGTTGACTTGAACCACGACTTGCCGGGCAGCGGGGCGGGCGGCGCGGCGCCGACGAGGTGCGTGAGCGTCTGGTGCAGCGCCGTGAAGTCCGAGTAGCGCTTCTGCACGACGAAGGAGCGCAGCGGCAGGCGCAGGGTGATGTTGTAGAGCGTGTAGGGCTTGGAGTCGGTCACGGAGGAGAGGCACGTCGTCGGAATCGATATCTCGGCCGGCGGTGCCATGGTTGGGTGGTTGTAGGCGAGCGACAGTTCTGTATGGTCTGGCGTGATTCACACTTAAAGCCCGTGTTGGAAACTTTGTGGAGTTGCAGGGTGGATTGTAAAGCCGTTACGACTTGTACAGCACGTGTCTCTGAAGAAAAGGACTGCTCGCTTGGGTATCAAAAGCAAACAGAGATTAGGGAAGCAAAATGTTGAGAAGATGTGATGAAGGGGAGGTTAGTATGGAGAATTGGTCTAGACCCTGGATGATGGTGACGATGGAAGCGGGTTGGGAGCTGCATGCAACAGCTGCCTCCACCAGCGTCATCAGGGGATGTGGCGCGGCGCTTGGAGCAGCTACCCCATCCAGTGCTACTCAGCCCAACAAAGGTCACGAATCACGAGAGACATGTCCGTTTCAAGACTTATTGACTATTGAGTTTTTGCACCACTTTGTCTTTCATTGCACTTCCAAAACATTAACTCCATACTTTTTCTTTCGGTCTAGTTTCCCTCTTTCTGGACTCTAGGTTTGATTTTCAGTTTACACCCACCCAAGTAATGAAGAGGGTACCAAACCAACGTATGTCAATGTTGTTTTACTCAGGGAGAAGCCTCGTATTTAGACAACCTATGGAGCATTCTCGTGATCCATCCTGCGAGCGAAACTTAATTAAGCTAGCATACTTGTTCATGGATATGTGCTTATATATTTGCGATTAAGCTCTCGTGTTTGAAGCCCTAGACCGTTTAGCTGGCAGATTATTGTACAATGCAAACGTCCGACATCTTCAACGACGATCTCTGACCTAGGTGAATATGTTGTGGTCTGAACTTTTCCAGGAGCCAGATGTTTTTGAGACATGTCAATATATCACAGAGTCCACCAGTGTTATCTTCCATGCAAATAGAGAGAATAGGAACCTTTTTTGGTCTATCATAACGACGTCGTTAACAGTGCTTCCGGCATTGGGCTTCTTGCCTATTGGCATCATCTACCTGCCCAACAGCGATAGATGAGCGTCGAACTCAGGGTCCAATACCAAGTGACGCCAAACCAAGAGCACCCGTGCTTCAAGCCCTACCAGTATGTTCATCTTGCCTTACATTACCCTCATGCGAAGTACATCCTCAGATCTAGCTTCAATATTCCCGTACGTGGTGTCTCAAAACGTCTCCTGGTCGTCGAGACCTTCACCCTCCGCAGGGATCTCAAAGCCCTCCTCGGTCGAGTATAGAATCGTCTGGATTTGCTTGACGAGGCCATCTTCTTGCTTCTCGAGCTCGGGATCCTCCTCGACGGCCTGCTGGACGAGGAGCTCGATATCCCGTAGCTTGCTGAAGTAGAAGTCTCGCTCGCGCTCGAGGCCGACGACAGTCTCCTTCAACGTAGCATTCTCCTGCTGAAGGGCAGCAGAGGCCGGGCCGGCTTTAGCACCAACTCGCGCACCAGTTGTTGGGGTTGTGCCACCTCTTCTTGCACCCGCGCTGCCAGCTGCTACACGCGGAGCAGGACCGCCGGCCGCGACTGGTGCGCCCTTCCTTCGCCCGACCGCATCGTAATCGCCACCGGGGTAGTACTGGTCCCAGAAGCGCTTCGTCCATTGCAGGAACTCGAGGTTGTCCTGCATCTTGCACTTCACCAGGGCCTCGACGGGGATGGGCTTATCAACACGGTGCTTCGCGAAGCAGTCTGTTGGCGATATAGCTTAGTAAACATCATCACACTATGGTCAATGTGGAGGCTTCGTACTCTGTAGCACTTTGAAATTCTGGATGTAGGCGTACTCCGTGTTAACGTTGAACTTGACCCTAGACATCGGAATGTCCATGAAGATGCTGTCGAAGATCTGGCATAGTGCAGCTCTGATTCGCAAAGCGGTCAGTGTTGGCCCCGTATGACGGCATCGAAGGTAGGTGCCGTAAAATGACACACCGAAGGCATCGCGACACTCACCCTGTTCCGCACTGCTCGACCTTGGTGATGTTGAGCTGCAGCAGGCTGTTAAGCCACTGGACGAGCTCTTGTCTGTGGGCATATTGTGGTTAGAGCGTTCTGGCCTACATCGTCCAAGGCGGCTCGCGACTGGCGCGAGGCTTAATTACTAACCTTGATTCACCCATTTTTGTGCTCTGGCTCCGCGTATCGGTGGTAAATAAACGTAAGGATGTCGTGTATTGAGCCGGAGAGATAACGCTCTGTACGGTGGGAAGGGGAGAAGAAGGAGGCGGCGGGCAAACAAGAAGGCTGCAGGAACGTGTATGGGAGGAGCGAAATTATTTTGATCAGAGATCGCCGCCGTTGATTTGATGCTCTCAGAAAGTTGCAAGGCAGTCGAATTCAGGCCGTCGTCCAATCAACACTGGTGGGGTGTGTTGCCATCCCCCCTCCCTCTTCATCGCTTGGCCCCTCCGCTATACCCCCTGCTTTCCCTCACGTGCATCCACACGGGACGTACTTTCACCTTCCATTTGATATCCTCATACCGTCTGTACTTTGCAATATGCGCTTAAACGTGTCTATGGATGAGTTAAAACTTCCGTAGCTACTGGTTCTCATTGTCATCAAGGTAATATGTTTGACACACTTATTGTCCATGTTTACAGGCTCCTGTTTACTGAACGGGAGCTGTCGAGCCTCTGCCAGCTGTGTGCCAGGTGCAACAGAGCTGTTGCTGCTAGCCCTGCCGAACCTTCTCACCGCCCAAAGTTTTAGTGCAACATTCTGCGGCAGAAAAAAAGTTCCCAGGCAAGGTAGGAAGCTGCACTCCGAAGTTTTCGCTGCCATTGAAACCCCACCAATTCAAGCACATTGCCTGTCGGAAGAGGCAGCCTTTGAAGCATAATGGCGCCCTCCAAGCGGAAAGCGGATGACGACTTTATCCTCACCCTCTCAGACAATGAAGCTGGACCGATAGAAGAAGAAATTGTCGAAGCTGCGCCTCCGAAAAAGAAGACCAAGACGAGCAAGAAGAATAAGAAGCCGAAAAAAGATGAGGTCACAGAAGAGGAGCAGGAGGGCATTTGGGGTCAGAAAGATGACGATGATGGCGCCATGGACTCAGATTTCGAATTCATGGTCGACAACGCCGTTGATATTGACGCTGCTGACTTTGAGGGCTGGGGCTTTGATGGTGCCAAGAAGGGGATGAATGGTGTGGAGAAGAAAGGCGTTGACCTGGACGAGATAATACGAAGGAGGATAGCGAAGAAAGAAGGCAAGACCAACGGCGCAGTCAACACGGTCGCTGAGCCCCAGGAGGAGAGCGCAGATGTTTCTGGAGACGAGGATCAAGACCTTGATCTCGACGACGAAGATGACGAGGTGCTAGCAGACGACGCTTTTGGCATGGCAGTAGCGTCCGATGCCGAGGAGTCAGTGGACGACGAGATGCCCGATGTTGATAGCGACGATGACGACGATGCCGCATCCGACAACGACTCAATCGCAACGCCGGTCGACCATCCCGACGACGCTGAACCTGGGTCAAGTGATGACGAGGACGAGGACGCGGAGGAAGCAGCAAAGAGAGAAGCGTTCTTTGCCCCAGAAGAGCCGGCAAAACCTGGAAAGAAGGATGGTCAGTCGTCTTTCCAGACAATGTCTCTCTCACGACCAATTCTCCGTGGCCTTACATCAGTGGGTTTCACAAAGCCTACTCCAATTCAAGCAAAAACAATACCTATTGCTTTAATGGGCAAGGACGTGGTTGGTGGAGCCGTCACTGGTTCTGGAAAGACAGCAGCTTTCATTGTCCCTATCTTAGAACGACTTCTCTACCGACCGAAGAAGGTGCCAACTAGCCGAGTCGTAATTCTTACGCCGACCCGTGAGCTTGCCATTCAGTGTCACGCAGTAGCAACCAAGTTAGCGAGCCACACAGATATCAAGTTCTGTCTTGCTGTCGGCGGTCTGAGCTTGAAGGTGCAGGAGGCAGAGCTGCGACTGAGACCCGATGTTATTATTGGCACGCCTGGTCGATTCATCGATCATATGCGAAATTCTGCCAGTTTCGCCGTCGAGACAGTGGAGATCCTCGTCCTTGATGAAGCTGACAGGATGTTGGAAGATGGATTTGCTGATGAACTTAACGAAATTCTGACTACATTGCCCAAATCGAGGCAGACTATGCTCTTCTCGGCCACTATGACATCGTCAGTCGACCAGCTGATTCGCGTGGGGCTCAACAAACCTGCGAGGATTATGGTAGACTCGCAGAAGCAGACGGTCACTACTCTTACACAAGAGTTTGTCCGACTTAGGCCCGGCCGAGAGGACAAGCGGATGGGGTACCTGCTTCATATCTGCAAGACTCTTTACTCTGAACGGGTCATCATATTCTTCCGGCAAAAGAAGATCGCTCATCAAATGCGCATTATCTTTGGGCTTCTGGGACTTTCATGCGCTGAACTTCACGGTAGCATGAATCAAGCTCAGCGAATCGCCAGTGTCGAGGCTTTTAGGGACGGAAAGGTGTCCTTCCTCCTAGCTACAGATCTTGCGTCTCGTGGTCTGGATATCAAGGGCGTTGACACCGTCATAAACTACGAGGCACCTCAGAGTCTTGATATCTACCTCCACAGAGTCGGTCGTACAGCAAGAGCAGGTCGAAGTGGTGTTGCCGTCACACTTGCGGCTGAGCCAGACCGCAAGGTCGTCAAGGCAGCTGTAAAGGCTGGCAAGGCACAAGGTGCGAAGATCAGCAGTCGCATCATCGAGCCGGCCATAGCAGACGAATGGCAAGATAAGATTGATGACTTAGAGGATGAGGTTGAGATGGTCATGCAAGAAGAGAAGGAGGAAAAGCAGATGGCACAGGTTGAGATGCAAGTCAAGAAGGGCGAGAATATGATTCAGTATGAGGATGATATCAAGTCTCGGCCAAAGAGGACATGGTTCGAAACGGAGAAAGACAAGAAGGCTGCTAAAGAAGCAGGTCGTGCCGAGCTCAACGGTGTGCGAGAATCGTTGAAGAAGAAGCATGACGGTGGCAAACTGAGCAACAAGGATAAGAAGAAGCTCGACGCCAAAGCTGCTCGAAGCGATGGCAGGTCTTGGAAGAAGGGCAGGGCTGAACGAGATGGCAAAGGAGCTGTGTTAGCCCTGAAGAAGGACAAAAAGGCGAAAGCCAAGGGACCACCGAAAGGGGGTTCTAAGAAGCCTGCAAGCAGCGGAAGGAGAAGATAGCATGAGTTGACGTAGATAGATTAAAATTTGTTCATATGTTCATATGACAACCTAGGGGTATTCCTCGTATCCTACCAAGCTTGTTACTCCCATTTACTATTTGCATCCTGCACACACATTCATATGACATGTGTAAATATATTCCTAACTCCTGTTTCTTCCGACCAGATAGACAGTCCTCGTTAAGGGTACATGTCAAAGATACACGGACACGAATAAAGCCAGGATCATGAGTCTGTGACCCACTGAGTTCAACCAAGCATCCGAACTTCCAGTTGTCGTCGTCGGAGTTGCTGAGACAGTGACTACAGAAACGGACACGCTTATTTGGGCACTAGTTGTCGCCGAGTCATCGTCAACACTCGTGCTTTTTGCTTCGAATTCGGTCGTGGTGGTTGAATCATCGCCCACAGTCTGGGTAATAACAATGGTCTTCGGCGCCTCAGTGATGGTAGCATCATCTGCCTCGGTAGAGGGCTCGGGCGTCCTGGTCGGTGTCTCACGCTCTGTCTGCGTTGGTTCCGCGTCATCATCGCCACCATAGCACGAGTCGTTCCTCGTGTCGCAAGTCGCGCCCGGTGGGCACTTATACGAACTCAGACCGTTGCTCCCTGTGCAAACGACACTTGGTTTGGGTATCTGATCCAAACTATCAGCTGGCGCTACATTGTTGATCTGCTTTAACTCACCGGTCCTGTTCCACAGCGGGTTGCGTCGTTTATGTCGCAGCATGTTTCTTGGCTGGTGCCAACACCAACACACCAAGAGACTAGATCACAACATCCGCCGGCACAGCAATCCGTGCCAACAGCGCAGCAATTTGTATAGTCCCCAGCACTGCATGCTGTGTAGATTACCTGAAAATTTGGATTCGTGCAATCGAACGAGGGATCTGAGGCTATACTTTGAGGATTAATTACATGGCAAATAGCCAGTGTCAACAGAACGATTCGCAACATCTTTCCTGAGAGTAACTAGCAACTATTTCTCAAGCTTCGGCCATGGACACTTTTTGCAACTCCACAAGAGAAAAAGTGCAACAAGCAGATAATCTCGCCTTTTAAGCTTAATTGTACATATTCCGGCCTCTTGACCTAACTTATCCTATTGGATGTGTCGGTGTAATCTAGATGCCAAGCTGAGAGATTGCGGCTGAGAGTTATTGGCAACGAGGCGCCGTCTTGACTCTATCCGGATTAGTCGAGGCGATCTTCAGTCAATGCAGGATAATACTTCACTCGAAAATGCCTGCCCTAGTCTTTTTCCAGGACAGCGTGGAGGATTATTTGGGTGTGAACGGTCAATCAGGAGGCTCTGTTACGGCGAAGTGGTAGTCCCGCCAGGCCGCCCACGTTTTGAAACTCGAGGCTCTTCTTCACCCAATGCGTACGCTCAACACAGTCATAAAAGTCTTAGATCGTTATTAATGAGAATATTTCGCTGATACACCGTAATGCTGTCTGACGGATCTGAAAATCAGTTGTCACTGAGGATTTAGTGGCGCCCCGCCATCGATTCGGTTACTTCAGATTCGTTGACAAGTATAATCACCTTGATACAGTCAGGAACAGCTGCCCGTACATCCTAACTAGATCACTGTCTTGAAATCTATAGAACTCATCAATTATAACGACAAAAAGGCCATTATCATGAAAACAGTAAGTTAGATCACTTTGAGGATTGCCGGTGTTGAGCTAAATAAGTTTTATCGAGTCAAATTGGTGAGGCGAGAGGAATTTTGACCCAGCGTTTACACCCTGTATGACTAAGCTCATTGCATCGTCGGCCTGGGGATGCCTGGAGATGATGTTTTCCCGTTTACGGCATGGGATGAAGTTGCACTTGGGCTGGGCCGCGTGCTGGGCATCGGGGAGGTGGCAAAGCGAAAAGACTGTGTCCGACTTTTTCATCCAAGGTACAGCAGGGAAAAGTCTATTGGTCCAGTGTGCCTGTCTTGGGTTCTACTAGAGGATAGAAGAAGGATAGAAAAGACGTGAAACACAACACAACAATAGCGACAAACCCATGTTTTGCGTCCACGTTGCGTCTACCGTGAGAAGCTGAAGTGAGTCTATTTGTGTAAGAAAAGTAGTGCTGTAGATAACTGATCTAACTAAACTGAACTAAGAGAGCAATAGCTAATTTCAATTCGTGAGGGCGGCAGTCAGGCATCTAGGCGTGTTTAGTGATGCGCTACCATAGCAAGCACGAACAGTTATTGGTGCGCAGGAGCGTTGACGCTGCGCTTCCCCTTGCTGTTTTCATTGAGGAAATCGAGGCCTCTCTGATCGAGTTTGTGGACCCCTTTAAGGTGCTGCGTGAGGTGGTCGCGCCGAGCAAAGCCTTTGGCACCATCGTGATCGGTGCAAAGCGGGCATGGGATGTGCTTAGGAGTGAGGTGACGTGTGAGGGCGTCGGACCTTGAGTAACTCTTGCCACACAGACAAGCGAATGGGGGATTTCCCGATGGCAGTCTACCATGTGTAGTTTCAATAGGCGGCTCCGCAAGGGAAAGCTGACGCTCAGGGCCAGTCAGGCCAGGGTTCTCCAAGACCAAGTTGATGGGCCATGCTCCCGGCAATGGATTCATGTCGATGGGCATTGGCGTCGAGTAACTGATTGGCTGGGCGTTGGGTTCGGTCCACCCTGTTTCACCACCTGCAGGGCGTAAAGGCTCACTGACACAGTGGAGGCAATGGGACACATGTTCCATTTGTTGTGGCCTCCAAAAGTGGGTCAGTAAAAAAAAAAAGACCGTGACTAACAAGATGAATCCAGCGGCCATGGGGTTGTTCAGAGTGGTTTGGCCATCGAGAATGGGAAACGCCAATTCAATGCTTCCTGCATTGAAGCAGTTATCGATAGGATAGCTCAAGGCTGCCACGTCAGAAGAAGAAGATGAAGAAGAAGATAATGGTGGTGGCGCTTGTTGGTGGTCGAGCGGCCAAGTACGACGTTGGGCGTCATGGTCGAAGTAGCTGGTCATAGTTGTCTACCAGTTTGTAGTCAAGTTGGTGAATCTGGTTCGAATAAATGGACGTGGATCGTGGAGACTACAGGCGCAATGCTTGCCTTCATCGTGTGGGGGACTGCGACATATTTAGCTTATGTTAGTCAATAGTCCAGCAAGCCCAAAATTGATTGTGCATTACTCTCTATTAGCCTGGCTGCCTGGGTGATGCAGCGGCAGAGATGCAGCCGCCACCACCCTGCAAAGGACCGGGGAAGGGTCGAATGGCAGAGGAAGTTTCTGCGCCACCACCCTGAAGTGCCTCCTGAATCTGGGTCTGCGAAGGCGGCCGCGAAGTGTTATAGGGTGTGTGTTGAACTGATCTCTCTGAAACCCCGCCAGCGATCGCCTTGTTGGGATTCTTGGACGAGCCTTGTTACCAACAATGGCTCCCAGAACACAACTTACCACCAGCCTCTTAAGGATTTTCTCGACTACCTCCCTAGCTATCACCCTCGAGTGTCTCTCAGCACTCGCATCATATCACCATCGTCGCACATATGGATTCCGCAGCTGACGAGGTGTTGGAGTCATTGCCAGCAACTCCTGCTCGACATGCCCGTCAGATCAGGCGACGACCAGGGCCCAAGACTTCAGTCAAATGTGGGGATTGTGGCCACGTCTGTAAATCTTCAAGACATCTTATGTATGTATGCGTCCCGAGTTTTATCTCTCCTGCACTGCTAGCACATATGCTTTGGATGATGGCACTGACAAATTGAGTAGCTGGCATAGACGCTGTCATACCAAAAGCTTTCTTTGCCTGGAGGAGCCGTGTTGTCGAAAGACACCTCCATCCGGCTTCAGTACCTACCGGGACTTGGAACGGCATCGAGAGCATGTTCACAGACGTGGTCTAGAGAGGATACAGTGTTCTTATTGTTCCAGAAGCGTGAGCCGACGGGATAATCTCGGGAGACATATCTTGAGGCTACACGGACAGGAGTTATGGGTCGCCGCCGCGAACGGGAATAAGAATGTTGTCAAACTTCTACTCGACAATGGAGCTGATGTTGAGGCGAAAGATCCCAAATTAGGCCGGACACTGCTGTCACTCGCTGCTGAAGGAGGGCATCGGGATATCGTCAAACTTCTACTCACTTGTGGTGCTGAAGTCGAGGCAGCAAACACGTTGCATCAAACACCACTATCAATTGCTGCCGAAAGGGGGCACGAGGGTGTTGTTGCGCTCCTCCTCGAGCATGGTGCCTCAATTGAGGTAAAAGACCTAAAATATGGTTGGACGCCACTATTACTGGCTTGCGAGAAGGGCCATGAGCCCGTCGTCAAGTTCCTACTTGACAAGGGAGCTAATATCGAACATAGGGATAATTCTAAGTTCAGATGGACACCACTCTTTCTAGCTGTCGATTCGGGGCATGTCACAATTGTCAGGCAGCTAATTGAGAAAGGGGCTAATGTTCAAGCAAGAAGTGGCCGGCCAACTGGTCTAACGCCACTATTGCTAGCTGTCCAAAGAGGGCACGGAGCTATTGTCAAGGCACTTCTCGAGAACGGAGCTGACATGGAAGCCACTGATTACAACTATAAATATGAGAGGACATCACTCTCATGGGCAACTTGCCACAGCCATGTTGCTATAATGATTATGCTACTTGAAAAGGGTGCCAATATCGAGGCAGGCAACTACCGAGGGGGGAGGCCGTTATCAATTGCAACTGAGGCTGGGAATGTAGCGTTGGTCAAGCTATTGCTTGAGCATGGTGCCAATGTCGAGGCAGGCAACTACGCATGGAAGAGCCCATTATCAATTGCAACTAGGGCTGGGAATGTAGCATTGGTCAAACTATTGCTTGAGTATGATGCTGATATCGAGACGGACGATACCGTTATAAAGCCATTATCAATTATAACTGAGGCTGGGAATATAGCGTTAGTCAAGCTATTGCTTAAGTATAGTGCTAATGTCGAGTCAAGAAACATTATATAGAACTTTCCATTATCAATTATAACTGAGGCTAGGAATGTA